TTCTATATTTCGGCAGTATTGTTTTAAAAGGTGAAACTATCTATGATATTCATCTGAAGATAAATCACTGGCGATGAGAGCTCATCGTAAAATTTATATGCGGTTAGCTTTCTATGCAAAAATTCTTTTTGCATAAAATTTTTTTCGAGACCTGTTTAATATATTTAATATATTGACGAGAATGAACAACCCCCCCCCCCCCTCCAATTCTGCTGATTGAAGTGACTTCGTGTGAGCTGCACCTCCATAAATCTGTCGTTGGACCTTAAGTACAAAAGGCATAAAAAGAAGGACTATTAGATAACTGAAGTTTGATTTATATCTTGTATTTCTTAAAAACTATCAAAGTGCCTCTTGAATTGGAACAACAAAAGAACTAATCACTCATAAATTCATGAGATATTAATCAGAAAGGAATTAGCGAATTTTTTTCAGAAATTTTTTTTTAAAGTACTATTGAAATTTTTTTTCCTACTCATGGAATCCTACAAGAAGCATGTATAAAGAACAAGTACAAAAAATCGAACTCGCTGGAAAGTTTCAGTATTTACTGTTTCAGCTCTTTGGATTCTATGCATTCATCTTTATAATGCTGTTGATAATGATCAATGAATTTTAATGGTATGTCGAACTTCCCACGTTAATTTCTATATGAAACTGATACAAAAGGTGATTGGCTAAAATATTTTGAATAGAAACAATCATAAAATTCTGGAAATTTCTCCTGATTTATATTTAATTTACATTGTTAAGTGGTGGGGTCATACCATTTCTGTTAAGGATACGAATTAAAAAATAGGTATGACGAGAGTCCAGAGAGCCACTTGGGAATAGAACTGTAGGCCAGCAACATTCATTTTCGCCGGGAGCATGGTCCGAGCTTTAGGCTATCGACATAATAATCCAATTATACGAAATATTTCGACAGAAATGAGCCAATCATATCAAATAACCAGAAACATTTCTTAATCTTAGGTAAAACATCTAGAATTTGAAATTTGTTTGGATAGGATTCGCAATATTTTATAAAGTATTGTTTAATTGTTTAATCAGAATTAAACACTTATCCACTTAGCCATTGTTTTCCTCACCAATCACATTTTGACTTTAAGATGGAAGCGTGTAGGGAAAAATGGAAGAGGTAAGAATTTCATTCCTTATAGATTCATGTAAAAACTTATTTTTTGCTTCCGGAAAATAATTCTCGGAAAAAAGATAAAATTTTTTTCACAGCACAATTCTTAGAGTGGGGCATTCCATGCTTTTTCTTTTATAGAACTATTTGCAAGTAAAACATATAAAATTATAAAACATGGCGAACTCCCTTATTTCTTCCATTGTCTTTAATTATATGTATTAAAAAACTGAGTCAACGATTTACTGATATTTAGTAAAATCATAGAAATAGTTAAAACTTGTTATAAAACGATTTATGCGAAGTTGAATTATCAGGATTAAAACGATCCAAAATTTTTTACTCCATTGCATTTACATTTTTCTACATTACTATGTTATATTATTCATCAATTAACATTATATTTTACAATATTCCCATTTCTGATTTGGATGGCTTTACTGATTATAAGGTCCCTTTGCCAGAAAGTCGCTTGTGGATACAGTTAAGACCTCGGTAACGTTCGACTAATGATATTATTACGATCGTAAAAGCAGAAAACATTTCTTAATCTTAGGCAAAATATGTCGAAGTTAAAATTTGTTTGGATAAGATTCGTAATAATTTATAAAATATTGTTTAATTGTCATCTGGTTATTTGAAATGATTGGTTCATATCTGTCGAAATATTTCATATAATTGGATGTGACTCAAATAATGGTAAACGATTTAAGAAGTCAAATTTTCATGGGAGAATCGCAAATGTCGGGGTCATAACTCGTGAGAAAGCTCATCACCAGATGGTCCAAAGACACAAAATTTCTGCATCCTGCATGATTGTTCAACTCTAATCAGCCACGAATCATCCAATATTAAGGCGACAATCGTGAGCACGTTAGTGAATCCAGTTTATGGTAACCAATTCATAAAAGGATACTAAAAAAATGATGCATGATTTTTTCCAAAATTCCTGAATAAATTGCTAAGCAATAATTTAAAGTTGAGCCGAACAGGATTTAGGTAGGGACACAAGTAGAACGAAAAAAGGAAAAGTCTACACGAGAAATATAAGACTATTATGACCTGAGTTTTAAGGCGTCTATGTGGCGCCCATAGCGCAATAATGAACATTCTTTTTTTGTTGAACTCATCATGGAATTAAATTAGATTAGCTGCAAACCAACAAGTCGATTATCTCAACTTGCGCAAATCTTCAATCTGCTGGCTATTAATGGGAACGGTAAGCAAACGGAACAATATTTGCATATTTTATGTTTTGTTTAATGGAAAAATTTGCACTGCATTTTTCGCATGACTTTATTTAATAGTCAATTAAGATTTTAATAATTAAGAAGATTTAGTTTAATTGAGGATAAAAATAATAAAAATGGCTAAGATTTACCTCAAATTCGAGCTAATTTCGTTCGTTGTTCTTTTGATTAATCGATCAACTTCAGTTTGAACGCATATAACGCTGATTTTTATTTTAAAGAGTTTTACCATTACTGGTTAAACTCGCTCCACTGGCTTGTCGCATTCGGCAATATGCCAGGGAGTCCCTTAACGATAGAACTACAGGTGAGCCGCCAGCATCACCCGGATTTTTGGACAGTTTACTCCTGCAAGGAATCGAACTTCAGCATCGACGCTCCCAGTTGAGCACAACCCACTGAATCACCCTATCTTCGATAAGGCTGATAAATCGCTGATATCCGCCGGACGCAAAATGCTGTTTAAAGGATCATAGTTTTCGAGTTTATTTTCGAGTTTATGATTTTAAGTGGTTAGTAGCATATTTAATTAAGCTCGTTCCACTATCTGATGAGGCATTTTTACCAGTTTGTCACTTGGGGATAGAAGCACAATTAAGCCTACAGTGCCATTTGAATTTTTTAATGATAGTTTTACCAATCTTCTTTTTACCAAAGACAAAGTTTGGACCATAATGTTTAAGGCAATAATCTGAGCAACAACCAGTCGGCAAACCTGCCTCCCATATAGATAAGATTTTACGCAAGGAAATATTATTATATTATCATGAAGAAAGGAGAAAATCATGTAGTTAATGGCAATTTATATGTCTTTATTATAGTAAATATTTCATACAATATTTTTGCTCTTTTGATAAATCCGAAGACTCACATACATTTCTCAGTTGCCAGTGAATTTAAGAAAGGTAAAAAAATTAGTCTTTGAGAGACAAATAATTAGCGATAATCGACTGCGGCTTATAAATAATATGGTAATATTTGGTTCATTCACCAACTAAAAATTTTTCTTAAAAAATTTCGATTCAGCAATTTTTCGAATAAAGGAATTTTCGTTCCACAAAAATTCGCTCTTTGTTCAATTTTTTTCATAAAACTTGATCTCTATGCAATAAACTTTGTAGTACTTTAAAAAATATAAGTTTTGGAATGCCAGAACAATACAATCGCAATATAATTGCAAAACAATTAAATTCTACCATTCTAATATTCAAAAGTTGTCGAGTCAAAAAATCTGATTAATGCGATTCGATTTGTCGCACATCCTTTTAAGCCTTATTAAATCTGAAACTTGCAACTGGTTGCAAAATACTGGAGAGGCTCTGCTGCAATTTGTATATAGCCACCTTAATGACAATTTTCTGAATTTCAACATGGTTCTCAAAATTTTTTTTTACATTTTTTGCTAAGAACTTCAAAATAGACCAAATAATTTCCGTGTCAGTAATTTTAAAACGTTTGTTCGCATAATACAGTATGTTTCTTCTTAATATATGATGAACGAACGGACTAGATGAAGCAGCACGTAAATATTTTAGGTCTTAGGCCTTGCTACTGTCTCTCTACAAATCTAAGCTACAATCTTGATCGGCTCAGAAGTGGAAGCACTAAGCAAGATTTGATTTTTTCCTTAAGAGAACTTTCATAGTTAATTTGAATTGTAGCAATTATCATGTGCCATTTGTTTGAACTGTAATTCTACCAGAGATAATGGATTGAAGATATGCAAACTAATTTGTCAGCCCAGCATATTGTTTCATAATTGGAACGAATTACCCAGGGATATCGGTTTTGCTCGAGTTATCTCCAGTTTCCTCCTGAAACTGGAGACTAGTCTATGTGATTATTTAAAGATATATCCTCAACCCACTGCTAAAAACTAAACCTTTATTTTATCTTTCTATTTTATCATTGTTCTTTGCTTCTTTTTGCTTTTTTCCTTCTAACTTCAGCATATCGCATTTCAGTCTATTTGGTTCTTATTGAAGTAAATCAATGAAAATAAATCAAGCAATTATAACAATTACAATGCAATGAAACACTATAAGACTTGGACAAATTTAATCTCGTCTAAGATGGGTTAAATGCCTCAATAAAAATTATGGCGTCCTACCACATTTCGATTATTTCGATGTAGGATTATAAAAGATTGATAACGCTAACGTCCAACCAATCAAGATTTCCTTATTATGGTCTCCATTAATCAGACCGCCATATCTTCACTGGGGATTTGTTTTTTAGTGAAGAATTAAAGGATCCTCTTTTATTATCATTAAATGTATAATTGTTCCACCGTATTTATCCATGAAATTTTTCAACAATGTTTTACTTTAACTGTTATGTTGAATAAATATTAAATATTCAGCTTAAACCATACATTAATGAAATGATAAACTGGAATCCAACTTCGAATCTCTTTACTATTGAGTAAAGAATTTACTCAATAAGTCAGATAAATAAAAAATTATCCTCAATCAAAATCCATTATGTATCCTCTAAAATACTCAATTGCATAATTCACATCCCAATTTAAAATTTATTAGTAAATAAAAAAACAACAAAATTTTCAATTCTACAGAATCATCCACATTTTTAAAACGAAACTGAATTTTTTTCAATTATTTCTCTTCTTGAGTCTTCAGCTTTAATAAATATGCCTTCTTATTGCGAACGCGATTTCTGCGTACAGCTAATGTTGATTTCCTCGCATTATACCTCTTCCCCTTGATCTGAAAAATCGTATCATATATTAAAAATAGCAAAAGAAACATAAGAAAATAAGAAATCGTTTAAGAACTGTAGAATGAAAAAAAATTTTTACGATTCATACCACAATAATAATAAAACAGATTACCTTTTCGCGTTTTGATGCTGGGGAAGGATCAGCTCGAATTTTTTCATGAGCACTTTTGTACATTTCCTCCAACTAAAAAATGCGGATAATAAAAAACGCAGAGATCAGATAGAAAATTTTAAAAATTTTCAATTCTACAGAACTATCCACATTTTTAAAACGAAACTGAATTTTTTTGAATTATTTCTCTTCTTGAGCCTTCAGCTTTAATAAATATGCCTTCCTACTGCGAACGCGATTTCTGCGTACAGCTAATGTTGATTTCCTCGCAAATTAAAATAAGAACTGTCGAAAAATTTATAAATTTAACACTGAAGAAACAATTTAACGCCTACATTTTCCGCATTCACTCCAGCAGCTATGAACTTTGAAAAATGCCTCTTATAAGCATCTTCATCTTCCTCCTTCAACAATGCCATATAATCCGCAACATGTTTACCAAATATCCGATCACGATGAGCCGTAGCATTATATTCCTTATTTTCAGCGTTATACCCAAAGAAGCGTGTTTCACTAAAATCAAAGCATCTTTAAAAAATTAAAAAAAGTAAAACAAGCAGATAAAAATGGAACAGATATGAAATGGAATGATATGGAGACCTCCATGGATTAAACCATGCTATGGTTCGAACCAAGATCAGCATAAAACTGACAACTCGCAAGAAACAGCGTTCTCCAAGACTTTTCAACTATCTCAAATTAAAAGATCCTGGATAAATAAGCGCATTTCAAACGGTATTATCGAAATACCTCAGTGAAGCGAACGTCAGTGACATATCTGGCGAATGAACATTGGTCCCAATTAAAGACTTACTTAAAGACTATATGTTTGCCAAAGTGAACCACTTCCACACTATAGTGTACTAATACTGCGCTAGTTGGGTGTAGGAAGCAACTGCCCAACTGCCTGAAAAACTGCCAAAACCCGAATATCAGGAGATCCGACTATCGATGCTTTGAAGAATTACAAGGACAGCAACATGGCGAGAATCGCTATTGAAGCGATATGGCCTTGAGAATGGATACCGGGGCTCTGATAAGCGATAAAAGGAAACGATAGGCCATCTGTTGTCCCTGATACAAATGATTCGCTCGTCGAGCTTTACGTTTGCAACTGTGAACCACCAACAGAAGAGGAAATAATCTCTGTAATTTGTAAAGTTAAAGCCAATAAAATTCCCGAAGATGGTCTTCAGGCCGAACTCTTCAAATCGTTCATCATCGTTCATAACTCACCAAATGTATTCTCTGGTATGGCAAAAAGAAATAACACCAGAAGACTGGAGCAAGGTAAATCTGCTCCCAATTCCTAAGAAAAATCGCTTGATAGGAATAGAATTGTGACAATTACCGAGAAATCAGCCCACTGGAAAAATTTTCGCTTCCCTTCTGCTAAATAGATTCATGCAAACACGAGGGAGAAGAATGCGTCCTAAGCAAGCTGGACTCAGACCGGGATAAAGATGTGTTGCCCAGACATTTACGCTAAAAAAAGTGCTTGGAACATCGCTTCAAATACCAGCAACCCACCGTCGCTTGCTTTATCGATTTTGCAGCTGTCTTTGATTCGATTGATAGAGCAACGCTCTGGAAAATGATGGAATGTAACGGTGTCCCACAGAAGACCATTCGACTCATAAAGGTATTTTATCAGTATACCCTGGCATATGGGGAACTGATAGACTCCTTCGAAATAAGAACTGGTGTCCGTCAAGTCTGCGTCCTTTTCCCTACAATATGTGATAAAATGAATGGGCATCGCTCGTCAGCACTTAAGAAGTATGCGAATCAGTCCCGAGCATAGCATCACAGAACTTGAATACGCTGATGATATAGTCCTTTTTGCCGACAATTATGAGGAAATGCAAATAATATTGAACAATATGTCAACAACTGCGACCAGAATTGTACTTGCTCAAAATCAATGTAAATAAAACGAAAGTGTTTTCGCCTTATATATAAAATACTAATAAAATACCTACTTTTATCAATTCATTGCCAATTGAGAAAGTGACCTTCAATATCTTGGATCCACTCTTCACTCTTATCCCAAATGGCCGGGCAATGGATAAAATCATAACTTGGATAACAACAATCAGAAATGTGTTTTTCCGATTGATGAAACTTTTATGGAGCAAAATCATCATAAAGACGAAAATTCGCGTCCATATAACAGCAATTCGCCCGATCTTATTATACGGCTGCGAAACATAGCCAATATGAGTGGATGATATGGATCAGCCGGATAAAATTGCACATGATCCAAATATCACCTGTATTAATGTTTTCACAAAGCGTCGTCTTCGCTGGTTAGGGCACGTTCTACGTCGTCCACTACAGAAGTTGACACACATATCGCTATCTGCCGAACCATGTGATGGAGGGTTAATCAAAACCTGACGGTTAGGAAAGACTTTGAACGGGGGACCAGCGATATTATACGATGAAAAAAGAAATGGCTTCTATTACAAATAACGATGGCGTCCGACCAAGTAGCTTGGAAACGTCTTACCCTTGTAGCCATCAGAACCAGCAGAGCCAGCCTAGCCAGTAATGATGTGTTAGAAGAACAAGAAAGGACACAGAAAGCAAACAACGACATGCTGTAATAATTTTGTATTCAAAGGAGCCTCATATTCTTTTACTTCAAAGATTTTGAATTTTGAAAGTAAAATAGTACACATTTCCTTATGTTTCGCATTTTTTATGCATTGAGATATTTATCATTAACATTAACATTAAGATTTAACATTAAGATCTCCTATTCCAAATAAATCATATTCTTTTTCTTCAAAAATTTTGAATTTTGAAAGTAAAATAGTACACATTTCCTTATGTTTCGCATTTTTTATGCATTGAGATATTTATCATTAACATTAACATTAAGATTTAACATTAAGATCTCCTATTCCAAATAAAACCTTTAATTGTCGGAAGAGAAAGAAAAATTCTTGTTTGCTTTGTCGATGCACTATATACTAACAGAAAACTTTGCTAAAAAAAGCTAATCTCCATTTTTTCCAATTAATTTATTTAATATATCTTAATGACAAAAAGACAATGTCATCATAATGTCAGAAAACATAATCTTATCACTTTATGATGTAATAATCAAAATCAAATTCTGCTTTCCTTCTGAAAAAAAAAAGTAAATATAAGAAAACCTGTGAGGGACATCTATACCACCATCGGCTACACCTTTCATAGATGCAAATATTTTAGCTCCGGTCGTGGTACGAGCCAGTCCGACATCCAATACAGCCTTGAATGGAGCCCTCTTTCCTTCTTTTTCAACATTATAATCTTCACCGCTCACCTCTTCAGCACCTTTGTACGTTTCTGCTAAGCCAATCTTAGCCAAATGGCGTCGAGCAAGTAAAAGCCCGGTGGCATATGCAGCAGCATAATTAGTTAAACCAACCTCAAATTTTATTTCCATTTCTAAAATAGAACGGTAACAAAAAAAAAATTCGTCAAATTTTGATTATAAACTACCTTTATTCCATACTTTGGCAATTCATGAGAATACGCAGCACACACTACGATGTCACCTTGTATTCTCGAATAAGCAATCTAAAATAAATGAAATAAAAGCAATCTAAAACAAATGAAATAAATCAAAATATAAGGCCTAGCACAACAATTTGTTATGAAAAAAAAACAAAAAATTAGCATAAAAACAAAAAGCGAAAGATTCTCAAATTTATAATGAAAACAATTGAAGCCATTTCAAACCAAATGATAAAAATCGGTCTAAAAAATCTGTTATTTACAATGAGGGGAATTTTTATTTACTGATGGTAAAGACGAATAACAAAGGAAAGAAATACTAGATTTATAATGGGTGATAAAAGTCAGCCATTAAATACAGCTAAATATTAGCGGGGAAAAAAGAACGTAAATTCGAGTATTACAAAACTGGAAAAGAATGAATGGGAACTAAATGAAATTCTCTTAAATGAAATTCAGGAACTCATTGGGACCCAACTGTACATTTAATTCTAAGCGATCCACTCACAATATATACATGTGATAATACACGAGCAAGAACAAACTGACGCAATTAAGAACAAGAAAAGAGATGAAAGGAAATGGATTTGCTTATACCTGAAAAATACCAAAATTTCTTAAAAAACTTCAGGTAATCACTGAAGATATTCCATGAGAAATTACCTGAGTAACAATATCCTTGTTTGTGAATCGTACGATAAGACGATATTTTGGCGTATTGTACTTATTTTTATCCTGTACCGTTAAACGCTTACGTGCATGATAATCGGTTTTACCTTCACGTCGACGTTTAAGCTTCACTTGAAATCGCTTGAAATAAGCTTTATTTTTAATAACTTTCACAAAACCCATTTTGGCCACCAATCAAAAACCTGAAAATAATAGAATTTCGAGAAAACTGTTAAGAAAACAAACACGCTAAGCCACACCAAATTTTATGATGCTAACTAACTGTTACCATAGCATTGGTCAATTATCGAAAAAATTCATTCTTCTGCAACATCTGCATCTTTAGAAGATCGAATCTTCTTCTTTTCAGCTCTCTAACAGCTCTCACCATTACTAGATACTTAAAATCGGACATTTCTTCAACTGGCGATGATATTACAAAAATAGGTACTTTACCAACTGCTTGTATATAAGATGGAAAGAATTTTTTTATATGGAAGATCAAATCTAATCGTGGTTAATTCTTTTTTAGGGCCCTCACTACTGCTGGTTAGGCTCGCTACGCTGGCTTGTCGCACTGGACGGTGGAGAGGGAGTCCCTTGGCGATAGGGGAACAACTGAGTCGCCAACGTCGCGCGGACCCAACATATACGAATGCAAATGAAAAGCGCTCATATTGCAGAAAAATTGAAAAATCAAAATAAAAAGTAGTGAGAAAGAGAAAACAAAAATAAGAGCGAACAAAAAATAAAACTGAAACATGTAAATTAATGAATATATAACATTAACTTTCGATTAAAATTTCCAGTCAAAATAATTTTGTAAAAAATGAATAATAATATATGCGATCCGCAAGCAGCGACAACGACAACCAACACCGCAAGCACTCCAATGCCCACCGCTCAAACACCCTGCGGAAAACTTCGATACGACGTAAATCATTAGGCACCCAAAATTCCAGTCGAAACCTCCTGCTTACATAGATTCCTTTGAATTTCTCCAATATTGAACTTCTAGCAGCGCAATATTTTTGCTAGTTCCAATATTTATTGTCAATTATATTCGTTGTTTGATGCCAAAAATGAAGGACTATTTTTTGTAAGCGTGACTAATTATGGCAACATAAAACCCCAGCCGCGATTGTGCGAGACTGACTGGTGAACAACTGACAGATTAGTGTTTTGTAAAAAGCAAAAGATATTTTTAAGCAAAATACGCGAAAATTAAGCGATTTTTTAAATGAAAAATAAGTAAAAATCCATTATTCGATAAAAGCGTAAATAAAATGGAATAGCTCAATGGGTTGTTGCTCAATTGAGAGCGCCGATACTGAGGTTCGATTCCCCGCAGGAGTGACCCTGTACAAAAATCCGGGTGATGCTGGCGACTCACCTGTATTTCTATCGTCAAAGAATCCCTGGCTTATTGTCCAATGCGACAAGCCAGTGAAGCGAGTCTAACCATGAATGGTGATGACTCTTAAAAAAAAAAAGTTAGAAAAATCAGATCAATATTAGTGAGGCCTCTACAATTCTTGGTAATAACTAATTGTAATAAATCATTTTCTGTTTCTTTTGCTTTTAGGAAGAGGCAACGTTTTGGCTGACTCGGCTCGCTGACTGACTTTATTAGGGTGAAACCTTCGTTATAGAGGACAGAGGTGCAAGAGGACACGTCAAAACACCTCAGCACCACCCAGGTTTCACTTTTACTCGCAGGTTCACTCGCGTGAAACGATAGCCAACCATATAGCGTCGAGCATCGGCGCCAGTGTGAACTATCCATTTGACTGAAAGAAGATTCTATTCGAAGCGTTCCTTATCATTCGAAATCAAATGATTTCTCCAAATCGTTTTCATTTATTTAATTTCGTTCTGTTTTATTAATTTCGTACTTCTACTTCTTGAATGGCAAACAGCAATAAAATTTTCTCGAAATTTAAAAGAAGTCGATCGTGGATTACGAGTTGAGATGAAGTCGGCTAAAGCGACTCAGTGAATGCACCAGTGTTCCACGTGATTCTCGGACAAAGGAATGGAGTCCGCGTGTAGCAATGAGGGAAGCCGGTCAAACCCGAAATTCCGAGCGAGGAGATCTGTCGAGTTTGTCGCGATCGAACGCTACTTTTAAGTTTTAGAAAAATTGCCAGATTTTCTCCTTTTTTACTGTTTGTTATTCAAGTTTGACAGTCGAAGTGATTGAAAAAACATATCAAATCTATCGAAATTCCACGAGAATTTTTTATAAATTGAATAAAACCGATGAATGGAAGAACAATAAAAAAGAAAAATTCGATGGTCTCGGCTTTTCACGACTTTTCAAATTTGTTATCCACGAAAAAATGGAATTCCGATGAATCAGTTTATTTACAACAATAAAAGCAGCTCTATTTTTTCGAAGGAATGTTCAATCGATACCCAACAATCAGCAAAACCACCCTACTTCGATCGGTTCGACGGCAAACTTCGCGGGGCCGAATGATTCGTTGTGTAAACAAGTTTTCTATAACTCACAGCTCTCTCCGTTCTATCTGTTGTACTGTTATACAGCCGAACGGTGAAATTAACGACTGTTTTCCCAAAAAAATATTTTCTCAAATTTCGCGTATAAATTAATATAAGTAAAGTGGTAGGTTCGTGTTGCTGTTAGTAGGATGAATGATTTTTCCGAAGGATTCATTTGGCGGCAAAGGGCGGTATGTCATAAGCATCAGCTAAATTTTTCAATGATAGGTTTACTCTTGCGGAAGGATATCTGAAGACAATCTAAATAACCACTAGCTCCTCTAAATCTCCCTTTTTTCTTAAGAGACCTCACCATCACTGGTTAAACTCGCTCCACTGGCTTGTCGCATTAGGCGAAGAGAGTCCCTTGGCGATAGAAATACAGCGATTGAGTCGCCAGCATCACCCGGAGCGTCTCTAAATCGGTCGTTATATCATATGTTATATATAAATATAAATAAAATTATGATAAACTGTGAAACCTTTTTTTGTCCTCTAGTAAAATTCGGCATTTCTGATTTGATTGGTCCTAGTGGCTATTAGTATTACCTCGTTAGAGGGCAGTTAATCAATCCTTGGGGATAGAAGGATGCGTCCTTAGTATCACTAAAGTATATATATATATATACTGCTTTAGCAAAAAAGTATTTTTAAAATACAATTTTTTTATTTTCCTAGCGGTTTTTTCGTTTTTTTACTTTGACAAATATTTTTTAGTTATTGTTATTGTTTAGTTATTTTTTAGTTATAGGAATTACTGGCACCGTCTTCTAGATAGTGCTTTTATAGGTTGGCATAAAAGCAGAAAATAACATAATTTTCTTCTTTTCGAGTAGAGTATACGGAATGAATGAAAAACCAATTATATGGAACATTTTAACAATGATTATTTTTTTGGAATTGAAAATATATTATAGATAAATTATAGATAGATAAATTGAAATTAAAATGCCATCTGTGCCATATATCTCACGACTGAATGGACCACTGGAAGCTGGACAAACGCTCGAGATACATGGCCACATTAATGAGGACGCTAAAAGGTTGGGGCGTATGGAGACTTGCTCTTTCGAAAATTTTCCGCCTTTTGCTTGTTTGATTTAATAAATGAAATTTCAAAAATAAACGACATAATAATCGGCATCGATTCAATTTAAAAATTCAAAATTTTTTTTGAATTCAAAAAAATTGTTAGAAATTTTTTTCAACAAAAATTCAATTTCAAGAATTTAATTTGCAATCTTCCATTTATTTAAAGACGAATTTACATAAATGATTCACTGTCATCGCTTTTGATTTGGCTCTCTCCACTGGCTGTCGGAAATTTTCTCGGGGGGATTTTTTGGCGGTGGAAGAGCATAATTATGGATAATTTTGAAGTTTTAAAAGTATTTGATCGATTATAAATAATACAGGAATAGAAAAAGATGACCCTTGATCTGAACCTTTCGCCATAGAGTCACTTGAGGACAGAGGTGCAGGTGGGTCCCCAGCAGCCACTCGGGTTTTTGACATCATGACAGGTTTACTCCTGTCAAAGACAAAGGAAAGAGATAATTAAATTAAATTTAAAGATAAGTTTAGAAGTGATTTAACAAAAGAGGGAAAAAAAATTTAAAAAAAAGAAAGTTAAAAAAAACTTATCCGATTCGTAGTTTCCTAGATGATAAATATTAATTAATAAATTATCAGATAATTATATCGCAATAGAAAAAATATCTTTTTTTTTATTAATTTTATTGATTAATGAGCAGAACACCTTTTTGACACAAACGCTCATAAGGTCAAAATAAATAATAAGCTGCTGATAAAATACCTATTTTTACCAATTCACTGTTGATTGAGGAAGTGCTGGACTTTGAATACTTTGGATCCACTCAGATCACAAATGGCCAGGCAAGGGATGAATATGTAACCCGGATAATGGCAGCTAGAATTATGTTTCTCCGGTTGATGAAACCTTTATGGAATTGTCGCGAAATCACCATAAAGACGAAAATTTGCTTTCTGCAACGTTCGATCTTGCTATATGGCTGCAAAACATGGCCAATGAGAGTGGAAGATATTAAGAAGCTATTAGCCTTTGACCACTCATGTCTAAGGTACATTCTACTGATCCGCCGAGCAAATAAAATCGCACATGATTGCATACATCTTCGCTCAAATACAACCTGCATTAATAATGTTATCACAGAGCGTTGCCTTCAATGGTTAGGGTACCTTCTTCGTCGTCCACCACAGGAGTTGACATATTTCGTTACTTGCTAAACCGTGTGATAGATGGCGTCAAAAGCGAGGTGGGCCAAGACCTGGACTGATGCAGTCAGGAAAGATTTTGAACGTATAGGAAGACTAGCGATATATGGGCTTAGGCGATGGAAAAAAGAACTTCTATTACTGGCTTAAAAAGGCTTCTATTACTATTAGCGATGGCATCGGTCCGGGCAGCTTGGAGACGTCTTACTCTTGTAGCCAGCGAAGCCAGCCTAACAAGCAATGGTGAGAGCTCTTAGAAGAAGAAGAAAAGAAGAAAAAGTTGTTTGGTAAAATTCATTGATTTGATTGATTTGACTAGTTTTTTATTTGAATATATTAATAAACATTGATTAGCTGAAACGTATTATGAATTTGCACCCTAAATTATTTCAAAGCGATTACCGTTAAACTCTATAGAATCGTAAAAAATTTGCAAGACTCGTGCAAATTCTATTATTTCTTCCAAATGCATTCTTAACACATCATTTCTTGCTAGACTTCCTGTGCTGATAACTATGGTCGCTTTGCCAAAAGCCATTTAGAAAAGAAGCAACCAGATTTCGGATTCTTCCTGATTTTGCTTTCAACAGCGAACAAGTTTATTTCCGTTAAGACTTAGGATTACGGTGGTTGACTCCAATGCAGCGCTCCACTATTCCACCATCCCTGCCACCTTATTACTTATTTGAAATTACTTATTTGACTTCTTTTTCCCTTATCTAAGGCATGTTTCTATCATATCAATCATTTATCTGATTCACTGTCGTGATTATGGCTTATTATTTGATATGTCACATTGTAGAAAACTCGAAAATGGTAATCAATTTTTATAAGTATATATTCTTTAAATATATTTTTAAATGGAAAAAAATGCACCAATAGATATTTTCAATATATTCTACATTTATATTTCAATATATTTATATTTTTTAAAAAAATTCATAAATTATCCTTGCTTGTCATATTAAATATTAATAGAAAAATTGCAGGTTGTAGGGAAGCAGGAGAGTTCTTATTTGATATTTTTTTGCTCCACAATGGTTTAAAATTTTTGGTGCTTTTGATAAAACTTCATATTCATATTTAGATTTGAAGTCAATCTACTACAAGGTGGTGTCTCAATCGAAACTTCTAAAGCTGTTATTTTACATGTTAGCGTTCGATTTGATGAAGGGAAAATCGTTCTTAATACCATGCAGGTTGACTAGCAATTTTCCATATTTCATCTTTATTCAGCTTTTTTCCTACTTTCTTAGATTTATTTATAATAAAAGTCAAACAGAACAATAGCCATGTATTTATATTGTTAACATTAGCAAACAGTGGGCTAATATAAGATGAATAAAAGAAAAGCACTGCAACAACACAGTGAAACAATACGTATGTATGGAGGATAATGTGTTTTTTCTGAGCATTCATTATTATTGGTAAGACTCGGTTTGCGGCTTGTCGGAGTAGTCAAATGTGCCAGGCAGTCCACTGGCGATCCTTTTGGACAGCATTACTCCTGCTGGAAGTAGAATTTGAGTATCGGTGCTCCGAATTGAGCAATAATACACTGAACTATTCTACTTTGCTTTTCTCCGTTAGGCGACAGTGTATCCCGACAAAAGGATGAGTTGGCTGATTCGAACCTAACCCTCGATTATCTTGCCAATGAGCCACCGAAAAGTGATATTTCAATTGTTAATATTTCGAAATTTTGAGATATCATTTTTTATCTTACAGATAGGCTTCCCTGTCTTCAGTCCATTATCTCTTGTGCTATTCAAATTTAACGAGTGGTCTTAGTAGAGTGGTCTTTCCTGGAGACCAGATCAATAAAACCAGATATTATAAGAATAAGTCAAAACAAATTTTATTTAATTATCAAAAGCCTTAGATAAATTAAGGTGCAATATGGATATGATTTTTGCATGATCAATAAATGCAGACCAATTTTAAAGGCTAAATGATTAATACTGAGTTTTTTTCTGCAGAAACCATGCTGATAAACAAAAATCAAATTATTTGCCTCAAGATAATCGTACAACTTATTGCAGACAAGCCTCTTCAGAATCCAGATACTTAAAGTTACATCAGGTGATGGTGATAGGGATCATATTTAAAATAAAATTATTTATAAAAAATTCCAATGTGAATGGTAGAAATCATCTTCAACCTCGGATCAGAGGTATGTGAGATTGAGGGTTTGACTCTCCCACTTCTTCTCTAGTTCCTCTGATATTCAGCCTCTGGTATTTTTTAAATTCTCATATTCTTTCCTCCTAATGCTTTTATCGTTTGGTGTTGATATTATTACCAGTTACCAGTGCTGGTTTCTGGTTCTTATCTACTGCCACAATATTTGGTTTTTTTGTCTGTATGGAAAAGTCTCTCAGAATCTTCGCTTTATTATTCTCCACGATTTTCTGGGAAATCTCCATTTGGTCTTGGAAAGGTCTTAGCCATGTACTTAGCAGATATTTCTGTTGATAATGCCAGCTATTTGGTTATGCGTTTCACTGCATGCTGCTTCCATTTTATTTCCTACTACTGTCTATCTGTTGAAATGTTTCTGGGACGTTTTTGCACGATCTGCATCTTGAATCATGTCTAGATGTATATATGTATATGAAATGATAGATTAAGAAATAATTAAAATTCTTTTTCTACTTCCTCGAACGGCAAACTTCTTTTCTGGTTGGAATTACTGATTAAGAACCACAGATCCACTAAGATTTCCCTTCCAATGATAGGTTTATTCCCGAAAAGAGACAAACAAATCTAGATTTATTTAATCATTTGGTCCTTTAAAAAAGAGTGGATTTGTTGTCAAAGAGGCACTACTTTCTAGAATGGATTTATTATCAAAAGAACGAATTGCACTAAAGTGGATTTACTGTCAAAAGTGCGAGAAATTTTGTAGTTCTTTATTTATTAACTAATAAAAAAATTAAAATTACAGAATGGTGACTGGGAAAAAGAAGAACGACACAAAAATCCGTTCTCAAAGAAAGGTAACGAATTTGATCTAAAAATTCGCGCTCATGTTGAGAAATATGAAATTACGGCAAATAACGTCGAGATTGCTGAATTCAAATGTCGCATACCGTTAAGTAATGTTGAATTCTTTGCGATTCATGGTGATGTAAAGCTTGCAAGTGTTCACTGGGGTGGGCGATATTATACAATACCTGTTGAAATGCAGTTTCATAATGGATATCTTGCTAATGGTAACGCTAACGCTTTTTTCATTTTTTTGTTTGTATTTTCTCATGTAGTTCTCAAGTAGCATTGGTTTTAAAAAGCAGGTGATGTACTTTACTATCATAGACTGTGGACCAAAATTTTCATGCTTTATTTTATAGGAAGTACCGTATACATTCATGGAATACCGATCGGAGAGCGATTTAACATCGATTTTGTTGCACGAAATGGTGCCATATTGTTTCACTATAATCCACGGTTTAAAGAAAAAAAAGTGCTTGACATTCTTCTTCTAATATTTTTTCTAGAATTTATATATATTTCAGAAATTTTTTATAATATACAAGAAATCAAATGATATCCTAGAATATTTTTTTCAGGTAGTTCGAAATTCATTTTTAATCGATAGCTGGGGAAAAGAGGAACGAGAAGGGCCTTTCCCCTTTAAAAAGAACCATAACTTTGCACTCGAAATTCAAAATCAACCCTATTCGTTACAAGTAAGTAATCATCATTGAGCGTCTGTGAAAAGAATCTTCCAAGCTAATCGACAGTTAAATATTGGATATCAAAGCATATCATTGCAGCTAGTTTATTCTTTTCCGCTATTATTCCGCGCCTAGGAGTTATTATTAATCAAATTAATTTAGATTTTTTGTGATGGCGAACATATTGGAGCTTTTGCGCATCGTGCAGAAAATCCAGCGAATGATTATCATGGTCTTCGAATTGCAGGCGATATTGAGTTAATTGATATCCAATTCCAGGATCATTATCAAACATAAACTATCGTAAATCATAAATCATGTAAATTAAATTTTTCTGGAGTTTCCAAATTTTAAATAATTGAAGGTTTTCACACTTCTTTTAGTTATTTACCAATAAAGACTTTTTTTATTCTCCTCTATTTCAACTTTACTTACTTTACTTTGTAACTGAATATTTCGAGATAAAAAATTTAATGTGGCATAAATATCGGAATGCTATGATAATTTTAAAAACGCGAGGAAAGTATATATTATATTATTGTACTATAATACTATGTATTTATTTAACAAAATGGCTAGCTAGTGCATGTGAATATGGATGGATGTTTCTGGAAAAAAGATTAAATCACCGACTCCTAAAATCCTATTACATTGTTCCAACAAACATTGCTATAAACCATTAATAATATTTTTATAAATATTTTTACACTAATTCAGTCCTCTCAGACCAATTGTGGATCAAAGTTAACTTCTCACTTTCGAATCATCCTACTTCGTTTCCTGCTAAGTCCAATTTTGCAGCATCCATAATTTATAAATTATATAATCGCAAAAGGTGATTGGAGAGCACTGAGCAAATATAATGTGAACTGGGACTCGAAGATTCGAGGACCTTAAGGAAAAATAATAAAAATTTGAGGAATATAAAAGTAGTGTAGAAGGATGATAAACATGTAAAATATATTATACATGCTGAGAATATCATAGGATGCCAAGAGATGAAACTGAACTTTGAGACGGTTTTGCGGGCATTTTTCCCAATTTTATGAAATGCACCTAAGCGCTAAGCGGATAACTTCTCTTTCTTTTCCCTTCTTATAACATCTCTCATCAATAATGGCTAGGCTGGCTATAAGGGTAAGGGTAGGGTTTCATTAGAGAGGATCCAGGGTATTTGAAATCCGGCACTTCTTAAACCGGTAACGATTTATAAAAATAGGTACTTTATCAGCTTCTTATAAGACAAAAGTGCTCTTTATTTGTACTAACCCTGAGTCCGATTCTCGCTGCAGTCGCTAACACATTATTTAGCGTTATTTGTATTTCGCCATAACTATCAACAAAAAGGACATCATCAGCGTATTCAAGATCTTTGATACGATGCTCTGGACTAATTTGTACACCTCTTGAGTGTCGATGTCCATCATCCAGTTTATTGTATAGTTGAATATTGTAAGCGAAAGGTAGCCTTGATGTACAGTTCTTATTTTGAAGGGGTCAATTTCCCACACACACCAATGCCGACGCCGATAAAATTCCTTTATTAGTTGAATGATTTCTCTGGAACATATCCCATTATCTCCAAAGCGCCAATTGAATCAAAAGCAGAGTTGATAAAATACGTAATAGATATTTGAGATAAACGATGTTCCAACACTTCTTAACATGAATATCTGAATATCTGATCAGTTCAACCATATCACGGTCTAAATTCAACTTGGTTAGGAAGTATTGTGTCTCGTATGGCCATAAGTCTATTTAGTAGAAGGGAAGCAAAAATTTTCGCCGATTTCTAGTAGGGTTTCTAGTAGGGTGATTTCTCGGTAATTATCACATTATGTCCTGTCAATTGGGTACTTTGCTGCAGTCATCTGGTATTGTTTATGGGAATGATGGACAACATTTGAAGAGTTCAGCCCGAAAACCATCTTCTTCCATACTTTTATTGGCCTGAAGCTTATGGATGATACAAATTATTTCCTCTTCTATTGGTGGTTCGCAGTTCCAAACGTATGGCTAGAGGATTGAATCTGAGACAATAGATGGCTCATGGTGGTTAAGTTTGGCTTCAAAAAATTCCACCTTAAAAGGCGATCCTTAGTAGCCTTAACAGTTACACCATTGCTATTTCATATCATTATCATTTCACTGACTATTCTCCATATGGTTTGAAATGCACTCATCCAGAAATCTTTCAGTAATAGTTGAAAGATCTTTCTTGCCAGTTGTCAATTTTATGGTAATCTTTGTCATAACATAGTCAGATCTATGAAGATTGCCCAATTCAGCCACATGATAGGAACGACAATCTAGTACGGAACTTTTCCCGCGACTGATGTTATTAATAGTTGAACTTCCGCATAGAAAAGTTGTAGTCGTATACATCGAAATATTGTAGAACTTTATTTTGAAACGAGCATGGGCCACATAGTCGTTTATTGACTTCTACTCAGTCAGTGCGGATCAAGCTTTTTCATATGTGATAATGGCTATACCATTTCGAGTCGTCCGAAACCATAATAATAGCCAGTACTTCTATACTCAACAAAGTACTTTCTCTGAGCCAGGTTTAATGATTATTCGAAATCTGAGGTGAGACACGCTTCCGACAAGCAGGCGATATCTACACGATATTTAGAGTGTGGATAATGATCATTTGGCTTGCAACGACCATAAGGGTTCCATGCCGCTATGGCTAATATCCCGCCGCGCGTGTAGAAAGTCGTTTCTTTTGATAGATTTCGGAATCAGCGTACTTGACGTCTCAGCGAAAATTTTTGCTTCCCTGCTACTCAACAGACTTATGGAAATACAGGACAGCAGGATGCGCCCTAATCAAGCTGGTTTCAGACCACGGCGCGGTCGTGCTGACCAGATATTCACGTCAAGAAGGGTGTTGGAACATCGTTTCAGATATTTGCAACCCACTGTCACGTGTTTCATCGACTTTGCGGCTGCCTTTGATTCAATTGATGGAGCGGCGCTTTGGAGCCATTCTGTTAATAATAATCAAGAATAGAACATTGAATTTATATATCACATTCAACAGCTACTAGATGAAGTATTCAAGTTTCATATGCAATGATAAATTATCCATTCATAGTTTAGAAATATTTTGCCTTTATGCATACATAAGAAAACAACTACATTAGAGTCACCGACGGTTAATTCATATTATCTTTCCTTAAATTTGCTTTTCTCAGTTTTAGATTTTATGCTTACAACTCTTTAATTTTAACTCTAGAATTTTATGTGCATATGACCCCTATCAGCCATCACTTTTGCGCTTAATATGCATTGTATAATCTTTCAAATTTTCCCCTGTTTAAAATCTTATTTCTATTTTGAAAAGAGTCAGTATTTATTTATAAGAATCCAGGAGGTCATAAAGCAAAGTGCTACAAGTAAAACAAATAATAATGTAAAACAAGGTTAAAGATGCATGAATACAAAAAAGCAAAACAATATCGAATTTAAATGTCACCAATACTAGCAAATAGCACTGTTTTTTAAAACTAGAAACGGACAAAATAAAAACAATATCATTGAGCAATTTATCACAGAAATTAATACTTCTAACAAAGAAGTTATCGGAGAGTATATTGGTTCTACAGACTGATTTAAGCAATTTGAACCAATCACCTCTGGTAATAATGAAGCACAGTTTAAATGACCGTTTTATTCAAAATTAATTTTTCATTTTATTTATTTTATCCCTTAATTTTATCTGTCTTTAACAAGAGCAAAATTTAACTTATTGAAACCATATGGCCTTAAAAATGACTGCCCAATTGGGCTAAGAAGAGTGACAAGATATACTGTGGCAATTATCGAGGAATCTGTGGGAAATTCCGAAATAATTGTATTAGAAAATTATTCAAAGATAATTGTATCATAAATTATAAAGTTTTTATCGTTTGCTCAGTTGTCATTGCTTCTTTAGGCCAATTTGTTGTTTGCACAGGTAAATTTTTCATTACTTTGCTCCATTTTGTTATATTTTAGAGACATTTTTCATCTGTTGATTTAATCCCACTTAGCACTTAATATTTTTTTTAAGTGCGGCGGCAATCGCATAAATCTTTTTTTTCACTAAATTTTAATTTGATTGGTTTATTTTCGCACGTCGTTTTATTCGTATTATTATTTGGATTGTAATAAAGATTTCAACTGGTTGTAAATGCTAAACGTCAATTCGTGGAACTATCGACGAGTACGTAAGTCACTCCTTTCAAACATCTTTTCTAATTGAATTTAATAAAAGCTTTTTACGACAGAATCAGTTTAGATCTCATCTCCGCGGAAATTTTTTTCTTTCCTGCAGAATTGTGGCAAACGAGGTAATAGGATGTATCCTAACCAAGCTGGATTCAGATTAAGAAGCAGTTGTGCTAATCAGATATGCGTGCTAAGAAGGGCGCTGGAACACTGCTTTAAATATCAGTAAACTACCATTACTTGCTTCATCGATTTTACAGTTGCCTTAATTGAAAGACCAGCGCTCTGGAACATGATGAAATATGACGATGTTCTTCTATATTTATCAGTAGTACAGGCTTGTATATGGGGAACTGACATACTTCTTCGAAATAAGAAATGGTGTCCATCAAGGCTGTATCCTTTTCCCTGCAATATTCAACTTCGATAGACTAGATAATGGTCATTGTTTGCCTGAGATGAATCAGTCCAGAGCACCTTAAGTATAGATCTTAAATAGGCTGATAATGTTTTTTGCTGGCAGTTATGACAAAACGCAAATAATGATAAACAATGTGCCGACAAGAAGCGAAAATCGTATTTAGAATTAGTGTAAATAAAAGAAAAGCCTTTTCGTTTTATATGAAGCTGATAAAATATCCATTTTTATCAATTTATCACCGACTGAGGAATGTTCGATTTTAAATAACTTAGATCCCAAGTGATCATGCAAAAGCTTAATTATAACCCGGTTAAACTAAACCTTTATGAAGTCGTTGCAAAATCGCCATAAAAAAGAAAGACCGTATCTGTATACCTGAAATCTTGTTATATGGCTACGAGGCAAGTCAGTGAGATTGAAGGAAATTAAGAAGTTGAAATTAAGAAGTTGTCTACCTTTGACCACTCATGCTCTCATATGAATGCATTCATCGTCACTCATATCCATGTCAACGATACAACCATCACAAAGCGTCGTCTTCGCTGGTTTAGTTCAGCGTTTTCTTCGTGGTATACCATAGGAATTAACTCGTTACTTGCTAAACCCTGTCGTGGATGGTGTTAAAAGCGAGGAGAACAAGTCAAAAGCTGGACTGATAGACAAAAAAAAATTTGAATATATATGAACCAGTGATATATGGACTTAGACGATGGAAGAAGGAATGGCTTGTTGTTAGAAATGGCATTGGACCGAATAGCTTGGAAATATAGCTACTCTTGTAGCTAGAGGAGCCAGCCCATCCTAATTAGTAATTAGTACTGATGAGAGCTAAAAAAGAAGTTAAATGAACGACATCACCGAGCAAACAAACCTTACAGCAAAGCTCTATTCTCATTTTAATCTTCCATCCTTAACTAAATTTATGACTTAAGGGCGAGGATTTGTATCAGTGGCGTAGATAATATTTCTATATACATTTGACCAACTGCTAATTTACTTTATTTAGATGGGGAACAAGTAGTATATTTTACAACAGCAAGGGATGAACGGAGTTTTATGCTCGTTGTTAAGGAAGACATCTGAGGGTTCAGAGGCTTTCTAAAATATTTTTAAATCGCAGGTCGAAGTCAAAATTTTCATCGGATAATAAACAAAAATTTGAAAAATTTCTCTAGCTGTGAAATTATCAATGAAAATAGGTGGAAACACTGATAAGGAAAAATTTCCATTTACCGCTAGATAATTTAATCTGCCTTTCCTAAAGCCATTTAACTATTTTATTCAGTTGGTTAAAAACTATGGAGGGTTTGACAAGCCATTCAAGAAGATTTAGAGAATTGGAGGTGAGGGAGGGATAATAAAGAATCGCAAAACGAAGTTGTTAAGGTATTATCTAGGAGAGGGATTAAGAGGGATTTGAGAAAACTGCTCATGAAATATGGCAAAAGAATACGAAAAGATTTGACGCTAATTTAAGAGGATGAGGAAGAACAATAGGATTCGAGGAAGTCGCTAAGGAGATAACGGCGTCTGAAGGATATGCGAGATATATGAGGAAGTTACGAACGGGTTGTGTTAATCATAGATGAGATGCTAAACAAAAATGACGGGAAACGTTAGGAGGAGATTAGCGGGGGCTGGAGGAGAGTTTGGAGGTTGGTTGATAAAATTTTTGCGAACAAATTGTCAAGGTTTTTTGCTGTCCATTATCACAAGCAAGCAACACCGCATAACTCAAAAGAAGTATATACCATCTCCGCGTGACATAATTCTCAACCAGTACCACTCCATAACCCGAGAGCAATTTTCACACGCGCAATTGTCACACGACCCGACTGTTACAATTATGAGCATGAGTTTGCGAACGGCTTGTTACATCTCTATGCAGAGCGTTATAGTAAGTTTTTTATTACCAAGTTGGACGACGCTTGTAGTTTGTAGTTTGTAGTTTACTTGTAAATATGTGGAGGATCAGTCGGTTACAGTGGCGTTTCATTAATTAATTGGTTAAGATTCGGAAATTTTTTAATTTCGGGAAGTGCGGCAGAGGAATAGCTTTAATCTTGCGTTTGTTTATTGTTTTTCAATAATTCGTTAGCTTTATTGATTGCAATGGAAAGGACGTTCGCGAGAAATCGAAACCGATGAGTCCTCGGCACCACGCGGATTTTTTCTCGGTGTTGGAACCGATGGCGGAGCAGTACGGTCGCTTCGTGTCTGTCGAGTGTCGAGTAACGGGACTCGCTTTTCACAGGAACCTCTTGCTTGTTATCAATAAACCTGTTATATGATGCTGGCGACGCGCTTGTCTTTTTTATCAGGCGACTCCTGGATTTATGATATATTTAAACACAATAATAAAGGTCAGCCGAACCAGGAACGGTTACCACGACCCAGCTCATCAAATAACAAATCGAGCCTATGGTCTGACCTTTATGACCCTTCTGTCCATTTATTACATTATATTTATGCTTTCTTTATGCTTCAGTGTTTATTTGTGAAAGTAAGTAATACTTTTATTAATACGTTTTCATCTTTTATTTTTGTTTGTCCAATCGAAGAAATTCTTTGTTATTCGTTGTTATTTGTATATATTCAAACGTATGTTCAGTACCACATGTTCATACGTTGGTTTTCTTTTAAAAAATTGTCTCCAGTTGATTAAGTAAATATTTAAGCTCTTCGTCTAGCATTGACACGATACTTTTGCTGCTTTCTTAATTTCTATTTTGCAGGCTATTTTGAAGTCGTTCATGGATAGAGATATAGATAATTCCTCACATTTTCAAGAGAGGTGATGAACCCTTTTTGCTTTAAATTAAATTATTCTCAAATAGCGCTCACAATTTAGATTACAAATTAGATTCGTTCCACTTACTTGTCAGAGCTGATAAATTTTGTCACTGAAATATAGTTGAGTGCCAGATTTAATTCTAAGAAAGAAGCCCCGAAGTCAGAATCTCATTCACAAGGATTGAAATATACGGCAAATCCCTGGGGTCAATGTAATCCCGGCATGCTCGCAACATATAGTTTATTATCCAGCCAACCACTATGACATATTCTTAAATTTCTCGCAATAGAATTCATCATTTCTACTTAGATTTTTTTTCCAGTCTGTAAGGATGAAATTCTTTCGCCAAATACTCACTTAGTAATGGTGCAAATGAGTCCTCAACATCGCTCTTGACTTTTAATGACAATTCTTCGTTTTTATAAATATTGGCCGATATTATAAGCAAATCCTCGGTTGATATTTCAAAGATGAAAGAAATGTTTGGTGGAATCGTGATGGACCATTTGAAATTCGGTTGGTTTCTGGTAAAGTTTCTGGAATCTGATTCCTTGTTTTCCTTTTTGTTAATATAATAGGTAATATTGGTATGAGCCAATTAAATTTTGTTATTAAAAAGGCATATAGATATGTAAAAAGTTGTAAATTCATTATTGTCTTGAACTATTCGAATTCATTGTGTTTATAGTTATAATTATAATTATTATATTATTTCCTTATAATTATTTTTGTTATTGTACATTGCGTCATATTTTTATTTATTTTATTGTTTTTAATATTAAATCTCAATTTTCATCAATTTTGTTTGGATTTATTTTCAGAAATTTTTTATTTTGGTCATTTTACAAATAGCAATGCACATTGCCAGAAAATTTTCATTTTTTTTTCATTATTAAAGTTTAATTATTTATTTATTTAATTCCTAATTTTATTTTATTCTCTCGGTTTTAAATTTAAATTTTTAGTTTGCTTTTTGATATTTTTTTCAGAACATATCTTCAAGCCCAGATTCGGACTTGAGGAAGTGGCCTGGGGTCGGAAGGTCCCATATATAGGAATTAAAATATGCGGCAAATCAGATTCACACAGGTCTTTTGCATATTATTGGAGGTAACAAGTTACACATAGAAAGGTTAAATGAGTTGAAATGAATCACGCATAAATTGCAAATAGTGCCAGCAAAATTCCAGGTTCATTTTCAGGCAAAATAAACCACAAAGAACATAGCAGTATTGAATACCCCTTCCTATTACACCTTTAAATTCTTAATGAACTCCTGGCTGAATCGTCTTTGGAACGCTGCTTTCTACATCCCATATGCATGGTACTTGGTCCTTGGTGTTAAGGTTCTCTTTTCTAAACTAAACTGTGAGGGCTACATTAAGACTTGAAAAGCGAACCTTTGATCATGGCATTAAATTGTCTATAGCCTGAGCTTGGCAAAGCTGCAATCTGACGGTTTCATCATTGAACATCATGCTGGATCAGGAAGAAAAGTGATGGCAGTTTTTCGGCTTCATTCCATCTTATAAATCCAGGTATAAGTATTTGTGGTAAGTATTACCACGGTTGCTGTTCTTTAAGATGGTCATGAAAATACTTGGATCAATTAACATGGGTAGATTTCTTGCATCAAAAGTTAAAATTTAGCACAGAAATATGGGATTCTTGAAATACGCATAGTTCCCGGGAGATATGTCATAATCTTTACCTAATTGGTAATGGCATCGAGGTTCTGGGTAGGAAATCATTTGATTCAAAGGATGCATTCTTTTGCGTACCACATAACAGTCCGGATCATATGATAACGCTTCACTATCCTTTTCTGAATTATCTGTGGGATAATTTATCACTTACCTTAATATAACTTACCTTAATATTATACATTATTTTCATTTTCTGTAGATGAGTATAGAAATTGCTCAGGAAGGACATCTGGAGTTGATTATTCATCATGCTTCTATTTCCATTTCCGTTGTTGAAAAGAAGAATGTTTTAAAGCGTTCATTTTTTGCCAAGACAGCAGCATTCCTCTCGTTATTTTCCTTGGAAACCTTTCTCTTCTAAGATGGAGGTAAATGAATTTTCCACAGTCTTCTATGTGATTAAAAAAAGAAGAAAACGGTATTAAAAAAAAATTAAAAGAAAAGTATAAAGTAGGAAGAATTTTTAGAATGAACCGCAGAATTCGGTGGACTAAAAAACAAACGTGATAAAGGCAGTGCTACAACCTGTGGATCTACATCTATTGTCCACAGAAATATGTGAAAGCGATTATAGTTATTGCTTAGGGGTTTCGAACCTTTTTCTTCCATTTTCCTCCACGAAAAACTGTTTTTCTCATCGATCTCTCTAGAATTGTTACTTTATTCACGAAGGTTCTTCACCGATTCCGTTGGGAACATCTGCTCTAACCCGACGATGACTAGCCTATTTACATGAAATTTCTTCGCCAATCGGTTTTTGCTTTTCTCGACCGAACCAACCGAAACGGAATTGGTTTGTCTTCTCAGTATCAGATTTAATTGGATATCAGAATATCTTTACAGATGATTTGCTTCTTTCCTAGATAGTTTTTCAGTTTTTACGAAAGAAACTAATTTTTTAATTATTGTTTATTTTGTATATATGTTATGTAACGGAGGTGCTACTGTGATGGGGGCGCGGAGTAGCTACCCTTTGACTTGTTATGAGTTTAAACTCGGAGGGTTCGGTCACTAACGGACACTGCAAGATGCGATGTCTTGCGACACGCATGCACAATATAGCGCAGAAATGGCAGCTTAGCCTATAGCGCAATATTCGATCATTAATGAACAAATGCATGGACATAAACATTTTTGATTTCACATTTAATCTCAAAATATCAGAATTGCTGTGCGATGACAAAAAAATGATATGCTCGGTTGATCTCGATTTTCATTAAATAGGTTATAAATCCAGTTTAACCTGCAATAAGCTGCCATTCTTTTCGCTGTTTGTGCGTCATCCGACTGCACGTGATGGGACGTGCAGCACCCGTCTTCTGCCTTATATTTCATTCCTTCTTACTTTAGAAATATATTGCTATCTTTTATTATTGCTCGACGTTTCGCTGATCACTCACTCTTTATGGTAGTGCAAATTTTAAAATTTTCTTTATTTCATGAGTGCAAATCAGATCGGACTTTTCATGGATCACTTTCGGACTGGCGGTCGTCGTGAATTTCTCAGTGCAGCCGAAGATTTAGCTGATGATGTTAGTTGTTTGAATTTTTTGAATTTAGCGAAAAAGCTTTTGAAAATGAGATTTATCAAGGATTCCTGGTTGCAGGTTGCACACTGCTTTTTAAATAGCTGCTTCTTTTTTTGCTTCTTTTATGGGATTGCTTCTATCGTGTTCGTTTGATTGCTTCTATCGTGTCCCTTTTATTGTATTATTTGCAGAACAGTTTCGTCTACCTGCTGTAGTTTTTTGTTTTATTCAAATATGGTTTTTATTTTTTAAGTACTTTTGGAATATTTTATTTTTTGCAAATTTAGATTCTGCGAAGAACTAAACATTTATTGCCACATGTGTCCAGACTTTGTCTAGTATCCACCTTTATTGAAGATGGATTTCGGATGTGGATTCAGTGGAATGATCAGCGACAGTTCATGCAAGTGAGTTCATTTCTGGTACATCTTTGCTCTGCTATCTCTGCTACACTAGTAAACCTTTTTTTATTTTCTATTCGGTTATATCAATTTCCCATTTTGCTAATTATTTTTCCCAGTTGTAAGTCGTTGTTTCTTTTGAATAACAGTGGTTCTAGTTATCCATTTTTGTAGGAATCATGGTTGTGTGGTTGGTTTTTAGCCACGCTCTTCGTGTTATTCAATTTTTTTGGTCAGATTATTCCAGTTATTATGGTCATGATACGCAAAAGAGTAAAAATTTCGTTAATTTTGCTTAATATTTTTTTAATATCGTCTAAATTTTCATAAAAAAATTTCTTTCTTTTATTTATTTATTTCACTGATTTATTATCAGATTTAGTATATAAAAAATAATTTATTTCTACATATACCGTTAATTTATACATTTTTTCATGTTTTATCAATTTTAAGAAAATAAAATTCGTTATTTTGATTGAATTAATTGAATTTATTTAATTTATTTAGGTGGGAATAGCATGTGCTGTATTTGCCGTTGTCATCTTTTCTCAAACAGTCGCATATCACATTCTTTGGGATCTGAAGTTCTTGGCCAGGTTTTTTCATCTTCATTTGCTATTATTTTAGGTTTATATATTTTTATTTGTGGATTAACCTAAACTGAATAGTTTTTATTAAAATTTAAATGGTACGTTCTAATGTTAATCTATGTTAATGTTAATATATCTATTTTTTTTAAGAAATGTGGCTGTCGGTGGAGGCCTTTTATTATTATTTGCTGAAACACAAGAAGAAAATCGTAGTCTCTTTGCGGGTGTGCCTCAAGTTGGAGATCAGAATCGCGGAAAATCAGCCATTCTTCTTACAGGCATTGTATTGTACATTAAATTTTGCATATTCTAGTTCAGGAAAAACAATAAAAGTCCATAGAGTCGAATTTTCCTAAAAATGATCTGAATCACAAGATTTTTTCCGGTAAATTTATTCAAAAAAAAATAGTATATCTGGAAAAATATGCATTGTTTTAATGCTTACTTATATTATATATTTAAGGACTTTTTTATTTTTGCAGCCCTACATATCGCTTAATAATTAACTTAATGTTCGAAAATATATTTCTGTGCAACTTAATGTTTAGAATAGAATTTAACATCCTTCAATAAATCTTTTTGAATCATTGGTAATTTCAGGTCGTGTATTCCTTATATTTATGTTTCTTTCATTAATGCGTTTTGAATGGAATTTTTTACAAGCAGTTGAAATGCTTGTTGGTGGTGCTCTTATGATTCTTGTTCTTATTGGCTATAAAACGAAGGTAAAAATTATCAATTAATTATCAATTAATAACTTCTAGTATAAGCATTATTTTTTCATTTCGAATTAAGCGATTTAAGCGATCTTAAAATAGATGCATTTCGGTATAGAGGGCAGTGATAAGTGCTTAGCGTTCACGTTTCCTGTTAGGTTTATTATGCTGGCTGTTGGTACGGTGAGATATTTTTAGCCATTGGGTGAGTTCCACTGAGATTGGCAGATTTATTTCTATTAGAGATGGAGAGACGATAACAACCATTTGGTAATTTTGTCTCTCTAAATATCAATACTTGTTAGATTCGTTCTAGCACCAATTGCATTTTACAAATTTTAATACATTTGTTTTATTTGTTCGTACATCAGCAACAGATAAGCTGGTGTGGAACAAATATAGGGATGGAAGGGGATATTGAATCTCTGAATGATATTAGATATTTTCTGCTAGTGGAAAAATCACTGCTAATACCAAGTTTTTTGTCTCTTTTCATGATCAAAAGAAATGCTAAATTTCAATATAAATTTGACAATAGATTTAAATTTTTTCTCACATAAGTTACAAAATTTGTGAGTATGGATTAGAGAAACATTTCGATTTTAAATTTCCGAAAAAATAGATTTTAAAATATAAAATATTTTAAATTATATTTTAAAATAAATAAAAATATATTATTAAATATTTAAATATTTCATATTAATTAATTCACACAAAAATTAATTCAAGTTATCTGCTTTTGTACTGGTCATGTGGTTATTCGCCCTTAATCTATACTTGAATGCTTGGTGGACAGTTCCTTCAGATCGATTTTACCGTGATTTTATGAAATATGATTTTTTCCAAACGATGTCAGTTATTGGTGGTCTTTTACTTTTGGTTGCATATGGTCCTGGAGGTGTCTCTGTTGATGATTATAAAAAACGTTGGTGATTTCATGTTATCATGGGTGTATCAATTTTTGTTATTCATTTAATGAGAATTTTCTTTTATGTTATTTAGATTTATTTGATTTTATTTTTTGTAGCATGCCTAGGAAATTGGTGAAAAAATTTCGATGAAATATTTTTCGATCCTTGTCTGCAATCGTTTTTTTTTTTCATTTTTAATGATTAATTTATTAATTTAATTTGATGAGGTGAGCTTCATTATTCATTTTTCCGAGTAAATTAACTTTCACCAATTTGGTAATTTAAATTATGTTGAAAGATTTTTTAAAAATACTTTTAACTTACTTTAGCTAAAGCTAAATTTAAATTTCATTTAGTTTAAATCATTTCCCAATTTTTTATCAGTTCTTCCCACCATTCTTATTTTTCCACATTGTTTTCTCAAATAGTTAGCTTCGCCATTTTTCTTCGTTGTTGGCTGGTAATTGTTTTTATTAAAAGCATTTAAAGCTTTTAAAAGAATTTTTGATTTTTATTCTTTTAATTTTAATTTTTTTTAATTTTTATTAAAAGTGATTAGGGACATTTGGTTATATAACTTGCCAATTGAAAAATATCCCAAAGTGTGAAAGAAAAATAAAATTTTTTTCCTATTTGTGAATAAAAGTTAATTTATTTTCTCAGTTTCCTACGAAATTTCGAGATTATCTGTAGATGAAATATTCTATCAGCAGCTTTAACTGAATTAATTTATTTACTGACTATTAATAATATAAGCACTGGAAACAAAGGGAAAAAAAGTACCAATAACTGCTTAAAAATATATTTTTATATACAAGCAAATAAATATCCAGCCGGAACTAAAATAATATTTTAACTTTTTTGATATTTCATTTGAAAGTGAATGGTAGGATATGTGGGAAAACTTGAGAATCAGCAAATGACTAAATAGTCAAAATGACGCAAAAATTCTAAAGGTCAAAAATTTAATGGAAAAAGCCTCTAACTTTATTCGGGAACATGTTAAAAAATGGAGGTCACGCTCATTTAGTAGTTTCTCTAATAATCCAAGTTTACCGACAAATGCATAGTCAAAAACAAATAAGAAAAGTAAGAAAGATTGTTTTTTCCAGCAAAGAATAAATTTTTAGATAATGGAAATTTTCAGCAATGAACAACAAACCAACAATGAACCAAAAGGCCTTTTCTTTTATGATCGAAATTAAAAAAAACCGCAAGAAAATGTTAAAAAGATCAAAATAAAAGTCGGAAAATGAAAAATGAGGAAACTGATTATAAAAAGAGGATAGTTTTCAAGGCCAATAACTTGTTGATATTAACCGATTAGCTAATTAATATTTAATATTTCGGCTAAACTACCTTAACACATAATGGAAGAATGGATATAAGCCGCTAATCATAAAAGTCATCTCACTGATTCATTTACATATTTAAATATAATAATATACATATATATAATATGCAGCATTAAATTTTAAAAAATCTAGCGAACGGTAACAAATTTCCATAAAATAGCGTTCAAATATTTGATTTATAATTTTAACGAGCTTTTTTACTTCACGAAATACATTGATTGAATACATAAGGAGGAAAAAAAAATCCCGAATATGATTTTAATTTCATTTCAAAACTTATTTTCAAGAAAAATTATGGTTTTTAACGGGAAGTGAAATCAATACAATTATTAAAATAATTTATTTGAAAACCATACTTCGCGTATTTTTTCAAACCACAGCCCTATGGGCTAAAAATATATAATTAGAAGGTAGATATATTTCAATAAAGCAATTAGCAACTGCACTGTTTTCCATCCTGTCGTCCTAACTGCGCTGTTCGTGGTAAATTTTGTTTCGGTTGAACACCTGTATCTGCCTGATTAAGATCCAGGCTGAAAAAAATAGTACTTTATCTCATAAAAAAATGATATCACATTTTTGCCATTAAATAGAAATATTTTTAAACCTTCCATCAAGAATATTTTGGTATATTTTTCTTGCGGTGTCCAAAAATGCATCTTCAACGTTATCACCACTGAAATGTAAAAGAAATCGTAAAAAGTTTTAATCGGTAGCTGTAACCTTTCAAAATGGACGGCTGAAAAACTTAATACTTCTAGAAATTTAAAGGATATCGGTGGTATACATTCTTTTGATAAAAGCCAAGCTATCACAGATTTTTGCCCTTGAAAGTAATTAAACTGAAATTAAAATACTAATGAAATATAGGATTTATCACTTATCTTCTATTCTCAAATGAGCGATTATTTTAACCAGTAAGGCAATTTAGTAGTGTCTTCGTCTTGCTTATTGTTCGAAATGAAAAGACTTTAAGTTTAATAGGTAAAGGATGGAATCAATGCATTTTTTGCGAATTTATACAATTAAATATAAAATTCACATGAAGTGTCCAATTCTTAACAATAATAATTATCAATTAATCTAATCGATCTTTCCGATTTTTTTAATATAATGATAATTAAATAAGGCAAACGTTTTAGCTGAGCATTCAAGAAATGTAAGACCATTTTCATCAGCAAATGCCTTTGCTTCTTCGTAAGTAACATCTCTTTGCGCATTTAAATCACTTTTATTTCCTATTAAGAAAATCACCTGCAACTATTTCGTAATAATATGCATTATAAAAAATACTTTGTAAAGCAAATAATGTGCAAATATAAGTCGCCAGAAACAAAAACCGTATTAGGATTTGTTAGATTCCTAGCGTCAGTTAGCCAACTACTCAGATGATTGTAAGTGGATCGTCGTGTTATATCATATACCATTAAAGCGCCAGCTGCCCCTCGATAATAAGATCGCGTAACAGCACGAAATCTAAATGAAATAAAAATAAGATAAATATAAATATAAATAATATAAATAAATAAATATAAGATTAAGAAAACAAAGAAAAAACCCTAATATTTCAAGCGGAGTGAAAATTTCTAAGATAAAAAGTATAGATAGACAAAAAAAATAAAAAAATAAAATGTAAGCCAAAAAAATTCACAAAAATTTTCCATCACCTTTCTTGCCCTGCTGTGTCCCAAATTTGAAGTTTTATTTTTTGCCCGCTAACTTCAATAATTCTTGTACCAAATTCGACACCAATTGTATGTGGACAATCAGCCATAACTGAAAAATTAAATAGCGATGCTGATTTAGATTTATAAGTAAGTTAATTTAAAAATAAATTAAAATTAATTTATATAAGTTAAATAAGTTAAGTTAAAATAAAAAATAAATGATATCAATAAAATAATTTTGAATATTGATATTCAATATTTATAAGCCCATTTAAACCACTGTAAAACTGTTTCGCTATTTAGAAATTCAAAAGAATTATTCGTCCTTTGGTCAAAAAGAAAAATTTTCCAGTCAAAAAAGCTAAAAAATTTTATAGTCATAGATCAAAAAATCACATAGAATTTAAAAGAATTGGAAAGATTCGTTTAAAACAGAAGGTAGTGATAAGATGAAATGATAAGACAAGAAAACCAACACTTCTTCTCTGTAAATTGGTGCAAAAGACACGATTTACCAACTCCCATATCTCCGATAATAATATATTTAAATATGTAGGAATAATTATAAGGTCCTGCGGATGACATATCTGCACCGGATCAACGCTACTTTCTGGAATTTCGCAGATATTAAGTTGGAAAAAGAAAAAAATGAAGCTTTAACAGTATTTCATTTTGCAAAAATTAAGAAAGGTCGTGTAAAGTTCTCATATTAAAATAATGTCCAAGAGCAGCTGACAGATCAGCAAACAATTAAAGCCATAGAATAAATGTTAATGAGTATTTAACTAAAGAGCATTTTTCAACAACCAAAAAAGCGAGTAAAAAATAATCGTAAGTAAAACCGTTGCCGAAACTATCAAAACTGGCCAAATAAAAAAATAATAATATTATTGTTAATAAATAAAATGACAACAGCAGAATTTCATAAAATAGGGTTGAAAATTTTTTAAAAAATTAACATTTTAAATAATTTGAACAATTATTAGCCAAACAATACAAAAGCCAAAAATTTTTTTGGCAACCTCTTAACTCAAAAAGGAATCTGATTCACTGCATAATAATAAATAAGAATTCAATATTGCCGTTACTTTAGTAAGGGAACAATTATGATGAATGGTTGGCTTGTCGAATAATTCTAATCGCTCAGTTGTTCACCTCCTTCACATTTTTTCCTCTAACATTCACCATTTACTTCTTACTTACTTACTTCTTGCTCGGACGAAATCTTTCGCTGTGCCATCACTCTTGGAGAAATATACCGACGGGTCGCTGTTTAACGGCTCACAAAGCAACAAAAAAAGCCTTCCCCCAAAAAAACAACCCAAAATTCTCGAACATAACAAATCAAACTAATATAAAAAAATATTCATCGATTTCACTCTGCTGGACTCACAGAGATAACGTTTTCGTTTTAGGAAAATATTTAGAAAATAACAGCTTTAAAATTTATCATCGCCACTCGTCAACCCTTCTTATCTGTAAATAATTGGCTAAGTGGATCTCTCGTGTATAATCTGAATCTGCTTTCATTCTTCTTCTTTTTTCCATCAACATTCATCAATTTGTGGTTTGGCTGGTTCAATTGATTATTAAGATGAGATTTCTCTGCTAAGAATCACTTATACAGTTGGCTTATTAGCAGGCAACCTTTCATAATTTCATTTTTTATTTCCATCAAGAGGCAGGAATCGAAGCGATGATGCTTGGTGTCATTCGAAGCAAAGCATTGTCTTCCACCTTCTACTATAATTTTTCAAGATTTTTCCCTTCTTAGTAATTTCTTATATATACTTTGGATCACAGAAAATGTTGAAAGATACTAAATATTTTTAATTTGTGACAATTTTATTCTAAAATTTATATTTTAAAATTATAATTAAAAATTTGAATTTGAAAATCTGAAGAATAACACATCAGTGAAAGTCAGTGAAACGAAAAGAATAGATAATTTCTCCAAAAATCTGATTGTGATGAAAATGGCTGTGATTAACTGTCAGTTAATCGCATAAGCAACTGGTTGCGGAGAAAATTTGATTTAAAAATACGAATCGACTGAAATGAATAAGGATGGCATAACGATACAAGTAAGGACAAGCGAGGTGCTAATGCACGGCGCGAGAGGGGAAGCTGAATTATTACTATAGTTGTTTGTAGCCATAATGGGCCAAGAGACGTGGAGACGCCGGGAAAGTACCTCAACGTAGCATAGGACGAAAACTTTTTAATGCACTGAAACTTTAGTCGATTTTAATTTAAATATTTAGTCGGCCTTACTTAAACTCAATAAAACTATTATAAAAATAAAACAAGTTTAGTTTGAACTTTTAAGATAAATTTTATTTTTAAATTTTATTTTATTTTATTTTTATTTTTCTAATTTTCTTTTTTAGTTTCTATCTTATTTTCATTGCTTAATTTTATCTCTATATCTCTGAAAGGAACAAACCTATCGTGATATGAAAATCCGGGTGGCTGCTGGGATCCACCTGCAATTCTATTACTCAAGTAGCTCTATGGTAAAAGGGTTTTGGTGTGCATGACTACTCTCTGCATGCGATAAATATACAATCCGGTAAAATATAAAATGATCGAAAGGCTTGAGAATAATAATATATGATCTCAAGCCAAGGCAATTACTTGAAATTTGTGAAGGGAAATGCATGCGCGGCAAGATATTAGCCATAGCAATGTGGAATGTCAGAACGCTAATGGACGTTATATGCCAAATGATCCCTCTCCATTTTTCTTCGGGTCCGCTCTGGTTAAATGAAAGCCTGTAAACGACGGTATGGCCTGTGCTCGCTTGAAAGGAAATCGGCAATATCTCAGTCATTAGTTTATATGTTCCGATTCTGTGCGGAAATGACCGTGACAAGGATAACTTTTTGTTTTATTATGCCTTCGATATCGAAAAATATATCTAATATATATAATAAATAAATCTAATCACGTGAACTCTCCAGATATTCAACACTCCAAACAGATTTCGAACTAAAATCCACATAAAACTCGCAAGAAAGAATATCACTTAAGTTTTTTTAACTGTCTATCTAAAACTAAAAATTTGCTGACAGGAATAAGATGGAAGAGTATTTTGTATATAAACCAGGTTATTGAAGCACCTCAATGATATCCATATCAGTGACATCGCTGGAATAGCAGATGAATACTGGTCAGTTGAAGGCATGTCTCCAAAAGTCAGCCAGTTTCATATTAGGATATAGTAGTAGGGAATATTTTAGTTGTTAGATATCGGGAGCAATTGTCTAAATGTCCGAAAAAGTTGCCAAAGCATGAATATCAGAAGATCCTGACCATTAGATGCTTCGAAAAAACACAACAATAGGGAACGAATAACTTATATTACTGTCATAGATGGTACCGGGTTGAACAGCCTGGAAATGCCTTTTGTAGCCAGCAGAGTCAGTCTAACCAGTTATGGTGAAAGCTGTTAGAAGTTGATTCCAATATTTTCTTCATCCTACAGCATTCACCGTTTGTAATTTAATCTATCCATAGAGTTTTAAAAGAACTCTCCGCCAGACGATCACTTGAATATTAACTAGATAACCCCATAGCAGCATTTAAAGAGACGCCAAATCCTTAGTTTAAAATCAAAATATTAAGAGAATCTTGTATTTTTCACATGATTTAATGATTTCCTCTCATAGCGCCTTTAATTGATAACTTATCAGTTAAAACTCTATCTGTTATCGTTCTGGCGATTCTCCCTTGTCGCTATGCCGAAATTTCACTGTTTTCTTTCTTTACATTTTATTTACAGCTATATTTTTTTCGGTGCACAAATTTAATTATTTTGGAAATTCCTTAGAGACCGAATGAATTAAGGAGATCATTTTCTAGCTTAATTACTCAATCGGTTATTACTATATTTCTTATTATTTGTTAATGAATCAAGATGTCAAATCGCAAAATTGACTGCAAATTACTTCCATAATGCATACCAAAAACTTATTATATATATATATATATATGTATGTGTAAAATTGCACCGAAATATCGAAATATTAAAATAAAATGTGATTAAAATAAAATTAAATATTTATGTGTTTAAGTGAAATAACTTGATCTCAGTACTTTCTTCATCGTCTTCTAACAGCATCCATGTAATTTGGAGCTGTTAAGAGGAAAAGCTGGATAAAGTTGATAATAGTATTTAAAGGCATGAGATACCAAATGTTTGGTTCAAAATCAAAATGTTAACGGAATGATTTTGTACTTTTCACATGATTTAACGATCTGCCAGCCTCCACAATATCTTCAACTGATAGCTTATCAGTTAAAGCACAATTTGTCATCATCGTTCTGGCGATGAATTCATCGTTATAATGTGTTGAAATTTCACTGGTTTTTTAATTTTATAAATTCAAAGCCACATTTTTCTTCAACAAACTCATCGATAGATCTCTCATAGATCGAGAGAACAATGAATTAGTCAGATTATTTCCTAGCTAAATACAATCAACATTCTTCTGTCTATGTCTATCGCTGTATATTTACATGCATTCTTTAAAGTAATTTCCTATAAGTTCATTAGTAAAGATATCCATTTAGTATAAAGTACTTTAGTATTTAGTATGATCTTAATTTTTTGTTGGTTTGTTCAACTGAATGACTGATCCCATATTGTAAAATTGCAAAATTGGATTTTTAGCTCCTGAGAAGTATTTTCCTTCTATATCGCTTTTCTTGTTTTTTTCGATTTTTAGAAATTATTTGCTTATTTATGAAATTATCTAGAGTGTCGATGCTGAAAAATCTAGCAAACAAACAACAGCAAAAGAATTCGGTTTTAGTACTTGGAAGTGGAGGTCGAGAAAGTGCTTTATGTGATAAATTGTCAATGAGTGAAAATATTGGAAAAATTTTCATGTATCCTGGAAATGGTGGAAGTGGATTTGAAATCCCAGAGGGTATATATATATTTTCTAAAAACTCTTGAAATTTTATTATGTATTCGTTTATATGTATATATTCGTTTCATAAATAGACTCTAAAATCGAAATTAGTGATAATTTTAAATGGAGCAAAGATCTGCAAGACATAAATAATAAATTAAATTATTACTTATTTCAATAAGCTATCAATAGAATGTTCAGATTTAAACGATCCGACGAAAATATTATCGTTTTGTAATGAGAACAGAATTTCACTGATTGTCGTTGGACCAGAGGATCTTTTATATGCAGGAATAGTAGATGATTTGTCAAAATATGTTCCATGTTTCGGTCCCGTCCGAAAAGCAGCTAGGCTTGAAGTAAACGGCTTCATTCTAGTGTCAAACGTTTAATTTAAAATCTAACCGTAAAAGACAAGAAATGTGGCATTCTAAAACAGTCGTAATTTAGTGATTGTAATGATGTAATTAAATCATCTTTTTATTTAGGAAAAAACGCTTAGTGAAATTTTAAATAATTATTTTTTTTAGTGGAGCAAAGCATATGCGAGGACATTTATGAAAGAAGCAGATATCCCGTCGCCGGATTTTCGAATATTCATCAACGATGAAGGATTAGAAGAGTTCATCAGAGGGTTGCTTAAATTTTGCTTTATAATTTATGCACGTATGCCTTGTTTCTGTTTGAAATTTTTGTTTCAGCCTCCCTTGGCAAGGAATAGCAATCAAAAAAAGCGGTCTGGCAAGGGGAAAAGGAGTCATCGTCACCACGGATCCGGAAGAAGCTCTGAAAACCGCGCGACGCTTTTTAAAGGTGCTAATAAGATTTATTCAGATTTCGCATGAAGATTTTCATAATTTCGTAATTCGTAATTTTGAAGGTAGCGATATTTTAATATGAAAAATTATCATTAAGAAAACGATTTTTTTGATTTGATTTTAGATTTTGCCATTTATAGTTGTTGTTTGATGACCTATTTGATGACTTAATTAATTAATCGATTTAACACAAGCAAATGAAATCATCAATAGAGTTTAACCACAGCCGAACGAAACATGAAATATCGATATATTCCTCTTTTTCACTCAGCATTGTCGATTTGACTTGCTCTACTGAATGCTGAATATAACCTTATGACCTTTCTGCTTGAGGATGGCTCGCTCCTCTTGGCAAAAATTCGCAAATGTATTAATAATTGGCCGCAGAAGCCTAACCACTTACTTACTTGCTATGCTATTTCACTAACCTATCTTGACCAGAATCAAAGATCTTGCAATTTGAGGAAGAACAAGGCAAAGAAGAAAGCGCCATCGTTCTGGAGGAAATGCTCAGTGGAGCAGAAATTTCGGTAATTATATTGAGTGAATGTTAAATTTCATGTTTATAATATCAAAGAAAGCTGTTTCAATGAATTTTAGGAAAAAAAGATAGTTGATGAAGAAGCAAAAAATGAAATATGGGTAAAAAAGCAATGGAGACGTGTGTGAAAAAAATTTACAATGTAAAATTTTAAAATATTTATGTCAATTTTAATAGGCTCACTTTTTCGTTGATGGCGATAATTTCGCGGCAATGCCATTAATGCGCGATTACAAAAGACTTTTGGACGGTGACGCTGGTGAAAACACCGGTGGTATGGGAGCAGTTGGCCCCCTTGATCAAAAATACGACGAATATCTCAGTGAAATTCAGTCGATTATGGCAAAAACTTTGGCTAGATTACGCCACAATAACATTATTTACAAAGGTTATTTTATTTTAAACAAATTTACCCTTGTATTCTGAAGAAAGCAAATAAATTATTAGCAAATAAATTAATAAATAAATTGAGCGCAAGACTTTCCATAGAAAGTGCAGCATATTTTGTGAAAATAATTTTCAGGAGTTCTGTATTTGGGTCTCATCATAACAGCACAAGGCATTAAAATGTTAGAATATAATTGCCGATTTGGTGATCCTGAGACTCAAGCTTTAGTCGGATTGATGAAATTCGACCTTTATGATGTGATGATGCATTGTTATACTGGTCAGTTACACCAAGGCCTAAGCTGGTCCAACGATTTTGTTTGCGCAGTAGTATTGACAGCGAAGGGATATCCACATCGGAATGAGGTTGATAAGTTAATTACTGGTAAGGCGTCCCTTTAATGAATTGTTTTCTACTTATATTCTTTTCAAAGTACAGCGAAAGAAACGGCTTATTTTTATTTAATTTTGCCAATAATTTTAGAAGTGTATCTGTTTTGCTCACAATGAACTGCGGACACGGTTAGTACTTAATTTTTTTGCAGATATACCAACGAAAAGTGATGATGTTACGGTTTATCATGCTGGGACAATAAGAAAAGGAGACAAAAGTGATTTGTTTTTCTATATCATAGTTTATAAATTTGTGAACAATGAAGATAATAAATGAAGAAACTTAAAGATAAAATAGTGGAAACGATTCAAGAATTGCAAAAATATCAAACTTTAATAACTTTACTTTAAAAACTAAACTTTAAAAATTTATCCATTTATTATTTTGTTACTTGATATGGGGACCATTCATATTATAAAAATGAGAATTTTTTTTCTCAATCGAGAGAGAATATTGCAAAAAACAAAAGGGCTCACGTGCTAGCTATTACTGATACCATTATAAATCCTTTTTTACATCAAACTTCTTACAACAAAAATTATTTTAAGATTATTTCATAAAACTACGCTTCATAATTAAGTGTGAGGAATATAAATTATCGTAACTTAGATTTAAATCATATTAGTCAATAAATCGAATTAACGGTGCAAATAAATATTTATTCAAATATAACAATCCGAATGAATATTTATGCTTATATATATATATATTTTATGATCAGGTAACTCCTTATTTCGTAAATATTCAGTTTATACGAATGGTGGTCGTATATTATGTGTAACAGGTATAGGTCAGCGTTCAAGCCGAGTTTTGAAAAAAGTTTACGACGTAACTGAAAGAATAAAGTTCGAAGGAAAATTCTACAGAAAAGATATTGGTTTATTGCAGAGGTTAATATTTTCTTTTCTACTGCAACTTTACAAATTAACAAGGTTTTGCAATTTTTATATTTAGTGCTATTTCATATGAGAAAAGTGGTGTTAGCATCAGGGAAGGCAGTAGGCTCATCGAAATGATCAAATGCTTCAATCTTCACGATGTGAACTTGGCATCACGAGAAAAAGTATTGCGTTCACATTTCTTATTTCTATTTATGAAGTAGTTTTTTATTCACTTTGATTATCTTAATGTGATAAGATTATTTTAAATTTGAAAAATTGGAAAAAGTCGATCGGCTTAAGATTAAGATTCTTCAGTCATTTTGATAATAGCAGCAACAAGAGTGATTTAAAATGGATCCAAATTGATCATTTTGGAAATTCTTTTTAGTTTTAGATTGGTGGTTTTGGCTCATTAATCGAAATTGAAAGAGTTGTACAAGGCGCAGTTGATATCGTAGCAGGAGTCGATGGTGTTGGAACCAAAATTTTAGTAATTTATCTATCACTTCTAACACTACCCGCCTATTTCCAATTTGGCTGGTGCCATTGACCACTAGGATGAGATTTCTTTATTTGAAAATAGATAGTTGTCAAGAGCCACAAATCGAACTTAGCTTAACGTCAGTCATAGCCATTCCTATATACAACTCAACAACTCTATCCTTATTTTATCCTTCAAGTAAGAAATTTAATAGTAAATGTTAAATAGTAAAGATAGCAAATGCCATGAACGATTATACTTCTATTGGACAAGATCTTGTTGCGATGTGTGCAAATGATGTCTTATGTCGCTGTGCTGAACCTGTCGCTTTTCTCGATTACTATGCCACGGGTCATTTAAATGTTGACCATGCAGCTTCTATCATTAATTCAGTTGCAAAAGCTTGCAAGCAAATAAATTGTGCTCTCGTCGGTAATTCATTACACAAGTATTTTTTTATGCTAATGCATTGGTCATCAAGCTTTTTTTCACCTAGTTGGTGCCACAAAAATCCATTGTATCGCCGGTGGAAAATTTCCAAGTCTTGAAATTGTAAAATTTTAAAATATTCAGTCTAAGTAAGGATAACATAATAAATAAATCATGATTTTTTTATTGTACTTATTCTTAGGATAACCAGAGAGAAAAAATTTTCCATTTTTAATTCTACTGAAATTTCTTTCAATTTCTTAAATTTCTTTAGGCGGTGAAACAGCAGAAATGCCTGGTGTTTATGACGATGAACACTGGGACATTGCTGGGATATGCATAGGAGTCAGATCAAAGGAGTGGCCGCTGCTTCCCAACATAAAAAGGTAAATTGTACTTCGAGATTTTTCTTTCGCTTCATTCTTTAGCTGCATTTTTTTAGCATGAAAGAAGGAGATAAAATCATCGGCATTCGTTCCAGTGGTTTACATAGCAATGGATTTTCTTTAATTCGAAAAATTTTTGCGGATAACGATATTAGCTATAATGATTTGTGTCACTGGTCAGAATCAGATCGTACATATGGTTTGATATTGCCATTCAAGCTATTTTTTTCATTTCTATTAATTTATTTGGAATTGAATATTTCCAATTTGGCTGGCTCCAGACTACTGTGATTAAACCCTAAAAAGTCACTTGTGGATACAACTAAAGAAAAACGGCAGCAGAATCCGATTTGACCACCAGCCAAAGTTGAATAAAAATTTCGATGCTACTTTTTTCCGATTTTATAATGTAAAATATAAAATATTTATGAATGTGCTTGATAAATTTGTTTAAATAACAAGGTTTTCATATATAAATTGAATTAATGAAGAAAAATAGCTGATCTACGGTCATAATCTCAATAAAGGTGAAGAACTGCTGAAACCGACTCGATTATACGTCAATGAACTGCTACCCTTGATGAAACAAAATTTGATACTAGGTTCAGCTCATATAACAGGTGGAGGATTAAGCGATAATATTAGTAGAATACTTCCTGATCATCTCAAAGCCAATATTGTAATTTTTTTAAATATTTTATTACTATATTTTATGCAGATTTAAAAAATAATCGTCTATGACTTCAACTTTTTATTATTTATGGAATATTTTTTCCTAGAGATCTATAATATATTGTACAATATAATATTGCAGCGTTGCGATTCTTGGCGAATTCCAACCTTATTCAATGAAATACAAAAAATGGGTTGTGTCACACCCGAGGAGATGTTTAAAGTATTCAACTGTGGAATTGGCATGGTAATTATTGTGGCTCCGCGCGTGACATCTATAATTCTCAGTGCATTTCCACATGCAAATGATGCGACTATTATAGGCGAATTGACCACCAGAATTTCCGGTATATATTTTTTTAAAATGCGCATTTCGCATTTCATTTTTTTTATTTCCTATTTCTTTTAATAACTGTCAACTGTTCATGGTTTGTTATCATGCACTATTCGGAGGTAGCCTTTCACCACAAAATTATTTGGAGATGGGTTTCGATTTCCAATTTTTTCAAGTTCAATTTCAATGATAAACTTTCTCCGATTACGAGAGAAAACTGAAATCATAATGCCTGACCTCATTCGATGTTCTTTTCATAGGAACTATTAATACTAAATTGAAAAAATCATATCATATAGTAAGCACTTTTATGACTTGATTCATTGTAGGAGATCCAGCGGTTCGACTGATTGGCAAAGATGATTTATTTCGAGAAATCACTGGTCTAAACCAGGGTCCAAGATGCCGTATTGCAGTATTATTTTCAGGCGAAGGTATTTCATTTGCTCTCTTTGTTTTTTTCCATGTTAATTTATTAAGTATCTATATTCTTCAAACGTTTATTCTTAAAATAAAACCAAAATAAACAGATTTTTGAAGAAGCATTGCATTATTTACCAAACTATAATTTAATAACTAAATATGGTTAGGTACAAATATGGAAAACCTTATTCACAGTTCAAGGCGAGCAGGAAGCTGTTGTCAGGTTGTTGTAGTAATATCCGACCGGATAAATGCTGCTGGGAACAAAAGAGCTCAAGAGCTAGGAGTTATATTCAAGATTATTCCCTACGAAAATGCAATGAACAAAGAAGCTCATGAAGCACAATTTACGAAGGTTATTTATACGAATGAAGCAATTAAAATGAGAGTAATCGATCAAATAAATATTTTTAATCTATAATTCCATTAATAACCACTAAAATAATTAACAAATGGCATATTTTTGAGTTATTTTTTCTGGATTCTCATAAAAAGGGTGACCCAAGGCAAAATCAGTAAGAATTATTTGTCACGGAAAAATAGAAACAAAATGAAAATAGTATATATATAGTATATATATAACGAATATATATTTTTGTTGATTTACTTTTAGGTTCATTTATATCCGATATCAGTTATATATATCCAATTTTTAAATTTACTTAATTTATTCTAAAGAAGAGAGAATTTTTGCAGGTTTTACAAGATTACAATGTGGATTTGATTTTTTTGGCTGGATATATTCGTATATTGACGCCAAAATTTGTCAATATGTGGAAGGATCGCATTATTAACTTGCATCCATCTTTGCTCCCTTCATTTCCAGGATTACATGCAGTTAGGGATGCGCTTAATAAGGGTGTTAAAATAACCGGATGCACTATCCATTATGTCGACGTTCGTCTTTATTGTCATCAGTATTTTACTAAACATTATTCATTTTTGATTAAACATTATTTATTCATAATGTTTAATTATCATTACACTAGTGCTGGTTGGGCTCGTTGCGCTAGATATTAGCATGAGCCGTTCCCAATAAAATTCAAAATTATTAAACAGATATGATTCTCTAATTATTCGCAATAAACTAAAATTATGCCTATAAGAAGCGTTTTCAAAATTTACAACTCTCTTCGAGTCTTTCTGTAATTGGGAAATTTAGGAGGCAATTGATTCAGGACGAATAATTGCACAGAGATCGGTTGAAATACTTGAAAACGACGATGAGGAGAATCTTCACAATCGAATCAAAAAAGTCGAACATGTTTTATATCCAGAAATAATGCATAGACTTGCCAGGAACTTTTGTAAATCTAAATCTCCTGCAGCTTTCCGCTAGCTGCTTCATTTTATTTTCAGTTTTTCTTAAATGAATCGGTTGTTTGCCGATTTTTCTTCTTGAAATTTTTGAATATTTGTAGGATTTATTCGATGGTCGTTAAAACCTATTATTCTATAATTCTGAAGAGATCGTTAATTGAAAATTAAAGGATATTCACCGAATGGATTTATTCAATAATAACCTTTCCACTTTCGCACTTCAACTAGCGATTTATTTTGTTTGATAAAATTATAAATAAATACAAATATCTATTCATTTCTTAATCCAGTTAACATTTTATGGAATTCTATATTATATTATTACATCTAAATTGCTTTATCAGAAATCAAAATGTTTTTTCCGTAGTTTCATTATAATTCCATTTATACTATAATGGTTCTTTTAACAAAAAAATGTGTTACATGTTATGCACTCGTCAAGCACAATCATAAATGTGCTGAAATTGGTAACTGCCATGGATCAGAACATGTTATGGTTCGAGCCAAAATTCTTATAAAATTGACAAGTCGTAAGAAACAGCGTATCTCAAGATCCTTAAACTATCTCAAATTAAAAGATCCAGGAACGATAAACGCATTTTGAACCGCATTATTGAAACATCTCAGTGAAATGAACGTCAGTGACATCTCTGGAACGCGAATGAATACTGGTTCCAACTAAAGACATGCTTACAAAGCCACTCAGCCATACTAGAATATACTAGTAGGAAGTGTGCAAATTGGCTGTCGGAAGGAGCTGTCCAACTTTCTGAAAAATGTACCAACGCTCGAATTTCAAGAGATCCTGACTATTGGGTGTTTCGAAGAATTTTACAGCAGCATGGCGGAATAGAAATCGCTATTGGAGTGATATGGCCTTAAGAATGGAGAGGACGGATCGGACAGGTGATAATAGGAAACTGTTTCGCTTTCTCCGCAAAGCAATTATAACTCGAGAGGGGGCCCAGTGAAACGATATGGAATATTAATGGGGCGCCTGTTAAGGCTATTAAGAATCGTCTCATAAGATGGAAAGAATTTTTGAGGCCAAATTTAACCGCGATGCACCATCTGTTATCCCGAATATAACTGAATCGCTTATCGAGCCTTACGTTTGCAATTGTGAACCGCCAACAGAAGAGGAAATAATCTCTGTAATACATAAGCTTAAGTTCAATAAAATTCCGGGAGAAAGCGGTCTTCGGATAGAACTCCATCATCGTTCATAACTCACTTCAACAAATGTATTCTATGGTATGGCAAAAAGAAATAGTACCAGAAGACTGGAGCAAAACAATTCTGCTTCCAATTCCTAAGAAAGGTGACAGGACATACTGCGACAATTACCAAGGAATCAGCCTACTGGACATCTCCGGAAAAATTTTCGTTTCCCTTCTGCTAAATGGACTCATGGCAATAAGATGGTAGAATACGTCCTAACCAAGCTGGATTTAGACTGGGACGCGATTGTGCTAACCAGATATTTAAGCGATATCTGAGAAAGGTACTGGAACATTGCTTCAAATATTAGCAATCCACCGTCACTTGTTTTAATCGATTTTGCAGCTGCTTTCAATTCGATTGATAGAGCAACAATCTGGGAAGTGATGGAATGTGACGGTGTTCCAGAGAAGATCATTCGGCTCATAAAGCATTTTATCAGCATATCCTGGCACAGGTCTGTGTATATGGGGAAGATTGCTTCGAAATAAAAACTGGGTCCGTCAGGCTACGTCCTTTCCTCCACAATAATCAACTATGCGATAGATTAGATAATGGGCATCGCTTGTCGACATTCAAGAGGTGTGCAAATCAGTTTAGAACATAGCATCACAGAAATCACAGAAATACGCTGATGATATAGTCCTTTTTGCTGACAATTATGAGGAAATGCAAACAATATTAAACAATATGTCAACAACTGCAACCAGAATTGTACTTACTAAAAATTAATGTAAATTAACGAAAGTGTTTTCGTCTTATATACAAAATACTGATAAATAACTATTTTTATCAATTCATCGCCGGTTGAAGAAGTGCTTGACTTTAAATACCTTGGATCCACTCCAATCCCAAATGGCCAGGCAAAGGATGAAATTGTAACCAGAATAACGACAGTTAGAAATACTTTTCCGGTTGATGAAGTCTTTATGGAACCGTCGTGAAATCACTATAAAGAATGTAAATCTGTATCTATATAGCGGCAATTCGCTCGATCTTGCTATATGACGAGACATGCCTAATGAGAGTGGAAAATATTAAGAAGCTATCAACCTTTGACCACTCATCACTAAGATATTACGGATCTGTCGAGTAGATAAAATCGCACATGATTGTATCCATCTTCGCTCAAATACCACCTGTATTAATTAATAGTGTTATCACAAGAGCGTCGTCTTCGCTAGTTAGGGCATGTTCTTTGTCGTCCAACACAGGAGTTGACATATACTTCTAAACCCTTGATGGTTGCCTTCAAAAGCAAGTGGAACCAATCAAGATCTGGATTGATACAATCAGAAAAGATTTTGAACATATAGATGGACTTTGACGATGAAAAAAGGAATGGTTTCTATTATTATTAGCGATGGCATTGGACCGAGCAGAATGGAGACGTCTTACCTTTATAGCCAGTGGAGCCAGCCTAACCAATAATAGTTAGAAGAAGAATCAGAAATGGTAACTACTTAATTTTGTCGATTTACAGCGAAGATGAAAATTCAAGATAATATATATATTATATAGTCTTGAGAAAGGTTTGAGATGTGCTCGCGAGTCAGAATCGAGTGGAAGCCAGTAAACGACCGTATGACCTACGCATGCTTCAAAGGAAAGTTCTGCAATATTTCAGCCATCAGTATATATATATTTTTTAGAATCCTCACCATTACTGGTTAAACTCGCTCCACTGGCTTGTTGCATTCGGCAATATGCCAAGAAGTCCTTTGGCGATAAAAATACAGGTGAATCGCCAGCATCACCGGATTTTTATACTCTTGCAGGAAATCGAACCTCAGCATCATCACTTCAAGTTGAGCAACAACCTACCATCAGTATACATACCGCAACTTTATGCGCAGTCGACCAAGAAAAGGATAGATTTTGTGCAGAACTTAAACTATTAAATATCTCTACCGAGAGTTGACATAATTATAATCGAAGAAGAGGTGCGTAGCATAATACCCCCAATGAGGAACTCGATAATTGGCAAATATGGCATCATCATCGCTTTGTTAAAGAGCATGAGCTTTTTCTTACTAATGCATATATAAAATCGAAGAAAATATCTCACATGGAACTCTCTGGAAAACCATTGCTCAACCAGACTGACAACCAAATCAGTTGGAAGAGTTCAATATTAGATAGTTCCTATCGCTGAAACTGGTAACCTTCATGGATTAAACTATATTACGGTTCGGGCCAAGATTTGCATAAAACTGACAACTCGTAAGCCCATCCCAAGATTCTTCAACTATTTCAAACTAAAAAATCCGTTAGCAATAAGCGCATTTTAAATTGAATTATTGAAGCACCTCAGTGGTATAAAATATCAATGACTTTTAAAGATGAGCAGCGAATACTGGTCATAACTAAAGGATGCCTTCGAAAATCACCACTGCCTCGCTAGGACATACTAGTTGGGTGTTGGAAATAATTGTGCAAGTATCTGAAAACGCTGTCAAAGCACATGTCAAGAGATCCCGAACTTCGAAGAATTGCAACGACAGTGGTACAGCACAAAGTAGAATGGAGGCGGTTGCCCTGTAAGGTGATAATCGGAAACTATTTCACTTCTTCACAAAGAAGCCATAGCTCAATGAGCGATAATTGAAATAATACGGGATAGTAATGATGCGCTTTCGTTTTAAATATCAGTAACCCACTTCCTTCACCAATTTTACAGCTACTTCGATTCGATTGATAGAGTATCGTTCTAGAGGTAGATGGAATGTAACAATGTTCCAGAAAAAATTGACCCATAAAGGCATTTTTTCTTCATAAACTGATACAGGTCTGTATATGTGGAACTAACATACCCTTTCGAAATAAGAACTGGTGACCACCAAAGTTCTCATTTCCTCTACGATATTCATATTATGAGATAGAATATATAAGGGATATTACTTGCCAGCAGAGAGGAGAGGAGTACCATAGTACCATACACTCCAGAGCATGGCACCATAGACCTTAAATACGCTAATGATGTAGACCTTTTTGCTGACACTTATGATAAATATGATGAAATGTAAATAATGCTAAACAATATGCCAACAACTTCAGCGAAAATTGGAATCAGGTCAATAAAATAAAACAAAAGTATCTTCGCCTTATGTGCAGAAAGCTGATAAAATACTTATTTTAATCGACTCACTGCCTGACTTTTTTAAATAGCTTGGATCTACTCTAGTTGCAAATGGTCAAGCAAAAGGCGAAATTACTCGGAATGGAATCTTCGCGAAATAACCATAAAGGCGAAAGGCCACATGCATATAACTGCAGTTCGTAAGATCTAGCTACGAGATATTGCCAATAGTAGTGGATGATATTAAGAAATTATTCGCCTTTTATCGCCTTTCGCCTTTTATCACCCGTATATAAAATATATCTTATCATGTGATCGCATCCATCTTCGTTCAAATACCACCTGTCGAGAATTTTCTCGAAACTATGAATCATTGCTTATAAAAATCAAAAGGTCTTTTTTTTTTCCTTTTTGAACGTTATGTAGGAGTGGGTTTTTTTTCTTCTTTTCTTTGCAGTATAAACAGTTTTTTTTTTAAATTCTTGTTTTACCTAAACTATTGTAACTAAACTATTGTCCCCATTTTCAATAAAAATAAAAAATTATTATATTGTTGTGGTGTGATAGCCTTATAAACCCCGTTCAGTCTAAACGAAAAAGTCACAACATATTTGGTGCCACGAGCCGGGAATGTCAGCTATAATAGTTAAAGCTGTTCAACCGGTGAAAGAAAAGGTATTAAGCCTTCTGGAAGAAATCAAAAAAATGGATTTGGAGAA